CATGCACTGTCCTCTAACCAGCACCAGCCTCCATCCACCCACGCTCTGTCCTCAGACCAGCCTCCATCCACCCACGCTCTGTCCTCAGACCAGCCTCCATTCACCCATGCTCTGTCCTCTAACCAGCACCAGCCTCCATGCATGCTCTGTCCTCAGACCAGCCTCCACCCACCCATGCTCTGTCCTCAGACCAGCCTCCACCCACCCATGCTCTGTCCTCAGACCAGCTCTCCACCCACCCATGCTCTGTCCTCAGACCAGCTCTCCACCCACCCATGCTCTGTCCTCGTGACCAGCCTCCACCCACCCATGCTCTGTCCTCAGACCAGCTCTCCACCCACCTATGCTCTGTCCTCGTGACCCAGCCTCCACCCACCCATGCTCTGTCCTCAGACCAGCTTTCCACCCACCCATGCTCTGTCCTCAGACCAGCCTCCACCCACCCATGCTCTGTCCTCAGACCAGCCTCCACCCACCCATACTCTGTCCTCAGACCAGCCTCCACCCATGCTCTGTCCTCTAACCAGCACCAGCCTCCATGCATGCTCTGTCCTCGCACCAGCCTCCATGCATGCTCTGTCCTCGCACCAGCCTCCATGCATGCTCTGTCCTCGCACCAGCCTCCACCCTCCCACGCTCTGTCCTCAGACCAGCCTCCATCCACCCACGCTCTGTCCTCAGACCAGCCTCCATCCACCCACGCTCTGTCCTCAGACCAGCCTCCATCCACCCACGCTCTGTCCTCAGACCAGCCTCCACCCACCCACGCTCTGTCCTCAGACCAGCCTCCACCCACCCACGCTCTGTCCTCAGACCAGCCTCCATCCACCCACGCTCTGTCCTCAGACCAGCCTCCATCCACCCACGCTCTGTCCTCAGACCAGCCTCCATCCACCCACGCTCTGTCCTCAGACCAGCCTCCACCCACCCACTCTCTGTCCTCAGACCAGCCTCCATCCACCCATTCTCTGTCCTCAGACCAGCCTCCATCCACCCATTCTCTGTCCTCAGACCAGCCTCCTCCAGACCAGCCCCACCCATGCTCTGTCCTCAGACCAGCCTCCATCCACCCATCTCTGTCCTCAGACCAGCCTCCATCCACCCACGCACTGTCCCTCCAGCCTCCACCCATGCTCTGTCCTCAGACCAGCCTCCACCCACCCACGCCTGTCCTCAGACCAGCCTCCACCCACCCACGCTCTGTCCTCAGACCAGCCTCCACCCACCCACGCTCTGTCCTCAGACCAGCCTCCACCCACCCACGCTCTGTCCTCAGACCAGCCTCCACCCACCCACGCTCTGTCCTCAGACCAGCCTCCACCCACCCACACTCTGTCCTCAGACCAGCCTCCACCCACCCATGCTATGTCCTCAGACCAGCCTCCATCCATGCTCTGTCCCTCATTCAGGAAATGCAGCTCAGACTGTTGACACCAGGATCCTTCCTCACCAACCTGCCACAGCAGCAGACACCCAACCAGCCTGTCCAACAACTACACAACAAGTGACAAACATCTTGCGTAAGCGTCATTGCGTCATGACGCCGCCCATCAACGTGTCGACACGTCAGTAGCCATTTTTATGGAGTCCATTATCACACTGTGGGCGCACTTACACCCGCGGTATACTCAGTGCATAGTTTTGGGGAGACATACTTGCACAAGTGTCTTTCCTGACGTTTAAAACTCCGTGAAATGCCGATAACACGAATTTGTTCATGCCTAGGAGCAATACCAAGGAAAGGGGCGGGGCCTATTTGAATAAACTTTATTAGTCGCTGGCAGTGAGGGACAGCACACACACTGTGATTAGGGGAGCTTTGCTAACCCAGCTGTTTAACATGATGCTTAGTCAGCTGCATAGCTAAGCTTTAGGGGAAAAAAAACAGCTCACACATGGGAAAGGCAAGTTTGCAAATGGTTTAGGGATGTCAAGAAAACAATGCATACTTCAGGACTGAACTGGTTTGAATAAAGCTCTGATTTATGTGTTTTACTATGGGTGTAACTTAATCAGCGTTGACTAATAATGGCGCAGCTCACATTATTATTATTTATATAGCGCCAGCAAATTCCGTAGCGCTGTACATTATGCTCAGACAGCCTTGGATATGTCTAAGTAATATGGGAGTTGTAGTTATTTAACAGCTGGGAATCCAGCCTTTGGACTACCTAGCTATAAATCATATGCTGATGTGGTAACCCTTCACACTAAAGACATCCTTCTAATAGGCCACAATATGTATTTTTAAAATTATGCTTCCCAATCTGGCCATTCATTAAAAAAAAAAAAAAAAATGATGAGTTTGTTTTATTTGAGCAACAGCTCTAAACCAGTTACATATTATAAAAAAGCTGATCTGGAAAAAAAAAAAGGCTGAATAAGCTTATGTTTACCATTGAGCTTCTTCGGATGAATTCTTACTATTAAGCCATTATAGCCAAATCAGAAAAGTGTGGCTATGTTGTTAATTCGGCTGTTTTAGCCCAAAATTGGAAATGTTTGACAAATCACACGACAGCTTATGTTATGCATATATCATGGACATCCTTCTACGGTGCTTGCAGAGTTTCTAAGTTTAGCAAGACAATCATCATAGGAATCGTAGGCCATAACAGTGGAAGTACCACAGTTTAGCTTTTTCCTAGGGGTATATGCAGGAACCTTACCTCCAAACAGTCTCTATTTAGGAGAGACAGTGCCTATTTTGGACCCAAATATCCTTCTGTCCCTTTTTTTTCTATCCTAATGTTCATCGTTTCTAGAATTTCCAACACAGTCAATGTGAGCAAGTCATAAACATTTTACCTTTATGAAATACTCATTTTGGATGGGGGAGTGACAGTGCCTCTTCAAAGTATTTCTCTTTGTCGATTTAAAGGATCACTATAGTGTCAGGAAAACAAACTCGTTTTCCTGGCACTATATAATCCTTAGGTCCCCCCCACCCTCAGGGCCCCCTCCTGCTAGGCTGAAGGGGTTAAAGCCCCTTCAGCCACTTACCTTAATCCAGCGCCGGGCTCCCTCAGCGCTAGTGACCTCTCCTCCCCCTCCGATGTCAGCTCCTGAGGGAAGCTGAATGCGCATGCGCGGCCAGAGCCGTGCACGCATTAAAAACCCCCATAGGAAAGCATTTCTCAATGCTTTCCTATGGACGTTCTGCGTATACAATGCGATTTTCGCATTTAGCGTTGGGGGAAGTGCCTCTATCGTCAGTCAGGAAGACAGCCACTAGTGGCTGGATTAACCCTGTAATGTAAACATAGCAGTTTTACATTGAGGGTTAAAACCTGTGGGAACCTGGGACCCAGACCCCTTCATTGAGCTGAAGCGGTCTGGGTGACTACAGTGTCCCTTTAACCCCTTAAGGACACATGTCATGTGCGACATGTCATGATTCCCTTTTATTCCCGAAGTTTGGTCCTTAAGGAGTTAAACTGTTGGGAGGTTCAACAGAACTAGCATGAAGCAAATGACAACTAAATGCAGGATATATAGTGTGATAATAATGTTTCCTTTTGTAATTGTGTAAGTAAAGTTTTACATCTAAACAAAAAAAAAAATCCATGGTCGGCGTCATTGAGCATGCGCAAAGCAGGGTGACGCCAAACTCCCCCCTCCCACCACCAGCTCGGCGCATGCGCACTGGCCCGACGGAGGCGGGGCCGCGCGCGCAGGGCGGCGAATAGGCTTGGCCGTGCTCGGCGCACGCGCGCCCCCCCTTCCCTCAGGGCTCAGTGTGTTTTCCTGTGCGCGCCCCCGACTATATCCGCGCCGCCGCTGCCAGTGCGTCGTGCCGTCTGTGTCTGTGTGAGAGGGGGGGAGATGGACCGCGGGCGCTCGCCCCATTAATCCCGTCACCGCTCTATCTGAGTCCTGACTGGATTGTAACCGTCACCCCGGCCAGGCCCACACCGCCCGGTACACCGTGCCCCCCCCTGCCCCCCTCCCCCCCCGGCAGCCGGGTCTCCTCAGCCGCCCCTCTCGCGTCCACACCCCACTCACACACGGCATTGATGGTAATGTATGCAAGGAAACAACCGAGACTCAGTGATGGGTAAATGTCCGCTCGCTCCCTCCCCCGCTCCCTCGCTCTGTGTGTGGCGGAGCCGCCATGTTTGTGTCGAACCCCCGATCAGTGCGGGCGGGAGGAGCTCTGAGGGGCCGGGGGGGGGCTGCTGCTTTATGGAGCTCGCTCTCTCTCTCCCCCCGGCCCTGTCACGGCTCAGCCCGGCTCTCTAACACCACCACTAACAGCACTCTCTCTCTCTCTCTTTTTGCAGCTGTCACGACCGAAGGGACTCCCAACCCTACCAGGTACTGAGAAAGGAAGCTCAGCCACTACTCCAGCTCAGGCTTCGGCCCTGACTAGGCCTCAGGCCGGAGAGATAAAACGCAGACACCCTCCTCCTAAACCTACAGATTCTATAACAAAAACCCAGTGCCAGCAGCAGGAACACCGAGACAGACACTTACACAACATTTCACTTAGTTATTTATTTACTTTATCATTATTTTTACTGCAGTCAGTGAGTTAGCCAGTCTGGCCATCCAGTGGCACTGTTTGTAAAGTTTATGTGCCCAGGAAGGGGGATTAAGAAATAGGGGAACAAGGAAGGGAGACTATATTTTCATGCAGATATTCTGCTTATATGATGCTTTGCTGACCTTAAGGCGCAGGCAGTGTCAGGGAGTTGTGGTAGTACAACAGCTGGGGTGAAGGGGGAGGAGGATCTTCTGGTCCTGTACTCATAGAGTTTCTAATTTATGGTAATTTGTAGAAGTACTATTTTAGCCCTCAAATTGCATTATAATTTTGCCCTTTTACAGGTAAAGGCATTTTGTGAATGTGTTGGTGTAGCACATTTTGTAGTGGTGACAAGTAGGGGGGTGGGGGGGGGGGAACGTCTATGATGCTCAGTTGCATTTTAAAACTTTAGTCATTACCGACAAAGGCATAGTAGTAGCACTTGACCGCTTGGTTTGGATTCATACTGAAATTACAGGATCAAGGGTTAATTTTACTCAGAAATTTGGTAAACCTAATTTTAAAGTACTTAATGAACTAGTAATATATGAATGCCCCGTGAAATATTGAATATTGCACACGAGAAGATTCACCAAAAAGTGGACATTTTATTTATTGTGAGCGGTAATTGTGAACTATATTTGTGCTGCCAACCAGCACAAGGAATTTTGTCAGCAGTACACTGATAGGAGCTGACCAGTAATCAGCCAATGTATGGCTTTTTGGCAAATCCTTATGCTGGCTGACAGGAGTAATATATCCTGATTTGTTTTCACTTTATTTAATTGGAGTTATTTTTAAGTCACTTTCCTTACTGAAACACTTTACATTCCATTTTATACATTTGTAATTAGTAATTTTTGCTTAAACTTCCTGATATGTGATTGCACCTAATCTGAAGGGTGTTTCATTGAATGTGTAATATTAGTACTGTAGCTGACAGTGCAGACATAAATTCTACTGCATAATGTATTCATTTTGCAGTCATGTTGAAGATACTAAATGCTATTCTGATAAGACATTATAGGTCCTAATGTGAGCTATTAGTTTTTTTTGTATTACAAATAATTTGAAGCTGCAATGGAAAACAATAAAGAAATCTTGTTCTATATCCAAATATTTTAAGAAATATGAAAAGTTAGGTTTAATTCTGAGATGTTAGAAAATTCATTCTTTTAAAGAAGCAATCGTTTTTACAGACTCTTAAGTATTCATCAAAGAGTCATCCAAGCAGCAGTGATCACCGTCATGACAAGATGCGAGATTGTACAGATCCATCTCCCCCAAGTAAAATGCGAAGATCAGATAGTCCTGAAAACAAGTATGGCGACAGTGTGGGGCATGGCAAAGCCAAAAGTTTACACGTTCACAGAGTCCGAGAGAGGGATGGAGGTAGGTGAAAGTTGACTCGAAGTTTAGCTATAATATGCTTAAAAGAAAACTAAAGTTGCATTAACCATTTCTCCAATGTGAACACATTTTTGTAATGCAAGTGTTTTTGACAAATCTTTCTGTTTTTAGTAGGACCGACTGTTCAAATTATTAACTGTTTGGAAAAAAGTGTTGCAGACTAGTGCCAATAGGAGAATGGCTTTGTGATTGTGCATATTGATGGTCACAAAATATGGATTACCTGAATTCTGTCAATACATTTAGTGATTTTATTTATTTTTGTAAATGTTGCAGAATGCATTAATGAAGAAATGGATAACTTATTTGAGGGTTTGCAATCAAGAAAAACTAACTGTATAGAAAAAAATAGTAACACACTCATTGTTTGCTATAGGTAAATCTTAAAGGAACACTGTAGTGTTAGAAATAAAAACATGTATTCCTGACACTACAGTGCATGGATTACTGTTTAGGTCCCTGGCCTCCTTGTCTGTGGAAATTAAAGGTTTAAAACATATCTTCTCCGTCACCATGCTGGTTTTGCCTTGCCTGGTCCCACATCAACGGCTGAGATCTTTAATTTTGAGGATCTCAACCAATCCAATGCTTTCCCATAGGAAAGCACTAGGAGGCTATTACGCATTTGCGGCAAAACACTGTTCTGCAACAATCAGCGTTGCCTAATAGAGATGCAGTGAATCAATGCATCTGTATGGGGAATGTTCAGCACCTCCATGCAGTGCGTGTAGATGCTGAACTCTATTGCATCACTGAGATTGGATGCACTTCTAGTGGCAGTCTAGACATGTTCCTGGGTATCAAAGTAAACACTGCCTTTTGTACAATGTTGACACCACAGGGACGTGCTACGTCACTTTAAAATTATTGTCCATATCTTACTTTTATCTTAGCATTTCCTCATTCTTAAAGGGAAATTCAACTGCTTAAATAGAAATCACTGTTTAACACATTCATTTTTTTTTTTGATTGGTGGTATATCTAAAAAACAGCTTGCAAAAGCTGCCAATCTCTTGTCCGGAGACTCTGCAAGCCCTCCCCTTCAAACCAAATCTAGACTTTCTATGGTTGTCCAATCACAGACTTCCTAATGCAGCTCAAGAAGACTTCTTGCAAGGCCAATGCTCTGGGCAATTGCTTCCTCTTGAGTTTAGCTTCACTGAGTGAACGAACAGGGTTGGTTGTCTGACAGCCAAGGAACATAACGTAAATTTATAAAGGTGACAATTTCTATAGAAATCTAAAAAAAAATATTTTTTTTGTAAAATGGAGAAAAGAAGGCACACTCTTCACACACAAAGCTCTTCAGCAAGCTGAAGTGTCCTTTTATGTTTCCAAGCTGGAGCAGAACTGTATGTTTCAATGTATTGACAGATGTGACACAGGATGCTGAAAAAAGCATTTTTTGTTGTCACTGAACTGAGTTCTTATGACTACTTTACAGTGTGTGAATTGAACTTCAGGTTCTCATTTATACAGAAAATTAAAAATTGTCTTGGCAATTCAAGATTTTCTGTCCTATCTTTTAATATACATATCTTTTAAAATAGTATTATATTTTTTTTTTTTGCAGGTTTGTTGTATTTTTAATCATGTAAACATGTGCAATCAACCTGTCAGCAACAAATAGATATGTTTACAGTGAAACTGTCACTTTTAGAAGTGACATGAACCTTATTTTAAGTGATATTGGAGCAGTTACTGGAATGTGTTTAACAGGGGAGGGAATTATAAAACGTTTTTACTACTGAAGTGCTTTTTGTTCTCTGGGAGCACTCTCTCATCTGCTTAAAAATGCTTTGTGTGCATGCACGCTTTGGCCGCAGTTCCAAAATGTGAAATGTGCACACATGCTATCACAGCACCCGTGCAGGGCAGTTTTACTTTTAAATTAATTTACATTGTATGCTATTACTCTGCTAGGTCATGCAAGTATAGAGTGTAAATTTAAAAATTGCTTTTAGTTATTTATCAGGGTGCACTAAAATATCACATGTGAAAGTTCCACAGTAGCAAATATTTTTTTTTGTGTACGCTTTACCTGCATTCTGTTGTGGATCCAAAAATTCTATCACAATGTCTCTCTAACTTACGTCGAACTTGGCAAGAACCAACCAACAATTCAGCAGATTTTCCGATTTTGTTTTGGGTTTAGCCTATGTTTAATAGGTTAGTATTTCTTATTTGTAAATCACCTATGTGGCATGTAAGGAATGATTTGGTTGCCTTTTACAAACCAACTGTGTATTTTCTGTACTGCAGCATTATGCTAACCAGGGTACATAAAAATAGACAATATTAAAATAGTTTCTGTTCTAATGTGCTGTGTGAACATATAGGTTTCCAATAAGACTATCCATGCAGTTACACTAGAGATTCTACATTCTAATTATTGAGTATGGAACAGTAAATATAAATAAGGTTAAATGGGCACTTTTAAGCACATTAGCCACTATAGCCTGATGTAGTGGTTAGGGTGTTGCACATACTGTCACCTGCTCCTATATCAAACTGGTTTCTATACACATTGAGGGTTCCCCAAGTGTCCATGCTAATCTCATTGCTAATGCTGATTGAGTTTTATGTCATTCTCAGACTCCAACAATGCCATTTGAGTGAAATTGCATTGCTATTGTAGCAGTGTAGATGGAGCTGGGAGTGTGTGCCTACAGTCTTGGTTTGTGTCATACCGACACATACAAGGGCTGTAGTGGTTATACCACTTGCAGTGTATGTATTTTGAATGTGATGTGAGGCTTGGGAACATGATGGTTATGACGTAAGTACTCCCACACCTATGCTCAGTTATAGAGGGCAGCAAGAATCCTATTAAATAGTTACAGCAAAATGAAACTTCACTGCAAAAAAAGTAATGTTACATCAAAATAACAGCACATATAAAGCAGCATGATTTCTTTTTTTTTTTTTTTAAATACTTTATTTTAAGTTGACAAAGAATACATATACAGTTCGGGCAGAGTTTCTGACCCAATGTAGTCTTAGCATACAGGATACTATATACGTGATACCATATACAGATCTGGTTCACAACTTTAGGTAACAAGCAGTATAGTCGTGCTACATTCACATATCCTTATATCGTGCTCCATGGTTTCCTCCTCCCCGACTTCACTGTGATATAAATCTAGTCAACGTTATTTTCATAGTAACATAAACAATCCTCTAACAAAAACTGGTCTAGCTGTCAGGTATGCTTCTTAGTACTGTACAAACTGATGGGCGCCCCTCTGACCCCTAGTGTTCGCAGTCTGTGCTTTATTGTTATAGCACTTTGTTATGGGGGGAGGGGGTTGGGGCAAGGGGGGTCTGTGCCCCGACTTTCTGCTAATGGTTCAGACTTTGTGATGTAACAATGATCTGCTCCGGTTCGTAGTGGGGTCGTTAGGTGTCTCCATTGAATAATAGGAGCCCATAGGAGAGGCAACTGCCTGCCTTCACAGTGCTTCACATATACCCTGGCCAGTTTTCGGTATTACCTCCCCCTTGAGTGTGGGGGTAAATAACTACTAGTAGAGAGAGAAAAGGATAGATAAAGCAAGAAGTGAGAGAGAGACGGGGAGGACAGGATGATGGAGCTCCAGCTCCTTACTGCCCTATGTTACAATCATAAGCTTCACTAGCGGAGCATTGATAGTTGCTCAGGAGGCTACTTTCCCACATGGTTTTTCATGGTTCCCCTAACCCTGGCAGTTAGGTCATCTATTAAGTGTACTTCCTTGACCCTGTTTATGACCTCTGCTATAGATGGAGTACTTTGTTTGAGCCAATCTGAGGCCACCGCTCGCCTAGCCACTAGAGTAATTTTGTGTATAAGCTTTTGTTAGTTTCTGGACCACCTGTCGAGTGATCTGCTGTGTAAGTATAGCCAGGAATCCAATGCAGGGGCTCTGGAGGACACTTGGCTCAGCAGGTCCCTAATCTGGTTCCAGAAGCGTTCTATCTGCGGGCATTCCCACCACATGTGGATATACGTCCCTTTCAGTCCACACCCCATCCAACAGCTGTCTGTTGGAGTCTTTTTAATTTGATGCAGCTTAACAGGAGTGGTGTACCAGCGGAGCATCGTTTTAACAGCTTGCTCCTGAAGGGTCACACAAACAGAGGAGGCGTGATTGGCTTCCCAGATTTCCTGCCACTCTATGCCCTCCAGTAACATGATTTCTCAACAATGGTCATCTGCAATGTTTTGACCTTTACACTGTTATTTCTCAAGCTGGGGCTTAAAACATTGCGCACACAGCTTCTGTATAAAATAGTTTTATCTTGTATTTTTCTGTCTGCAGTCTATACATAAGTGTTCCTGTTTATTATAGAAGGGGAATGTGTATCCTGTCCTTTGACATTACAGGGTTATTCACTAAAGTGAAGAGAGAACTATGCTTTCAGTTCAGCTACTCTGGCCTTAAATTTTAAATTAACTTTGAATTATCACTTTAGTAAATAATCCTGTTACTGTTGTGGTACCCAAGCATACTTGAAGCAAACTTGGTATCTTATAAATCAAAAGCCTGCAGTCAACAAGTCTCTGGTTGCAGCTCAGTGCTAAACTCTTTTATTAATCATGCATGATTTTCACAATGTTTGCTTCATACTGCCAGGCAAACATGTGCATAGCTAACAAAAATACTAATACCAAATTGTGGTAAATTGACACATTAAAGATGTACTAAGTTAATAGTTGTACAACTTTTAGTTGAGCAAAAATCTCATTAATGACTCAGTACAACTACTATTTGTTTACTTTTTTTTTCTTGTTTTGACACTTACAGTGTGTGTGTATTTAAAAAAAAAAAAAAAAAATTTTTTTTTTTGGAAAAGCAGTTTTGTGTTGAACTGCCATGGAACATTAAGCATTGGCATTTTGAAATCCACCTGGTGATATTTTCCGTCCCTTGAAACTCTGCCCCTACACATACTGGGGAATAGGTTTATGCACTAGGTTAGGTGTCTAAAACTCAGTTGAGTTGTTATGGACCTGTTAAAGGTACGCATTGGGACTGGAAGTAATCTACAATTTTTCAAGGAAAACCTCTAGTTTGATAATCTCTACAGCCTGTTGTACTGGTGTTGGTTACAAAAGTGCCCTCCTTGGGTAAACACTCGTTTAGTTTTTGAAAACCATTTGACAACTTACCCGGAGGTTCTCTGGGTACCCACCATCATTTTCTCTCCAGCCAGATGGTCCATCACTGAGTCCCGGGGGGGAGTGGAGAATGGTGGGTAGTAGAACACTGAGACGGGGGTGGCATGTTACACTTTGGGACAGGGAAGGGGGGTTAGAACACTAGGGGGGAGAGAGGAACATTAAGGTAGGACACTAAGGTACAAGGAAGGGAAAAGGAACACTGGGGTAGGTGGGTGCACTAAAAGAGAAGGGGAATATTAAGGGGAATGGGGGGAGGGCACAAAGAGACAGGTAAGGTGCGGGGGGTGTTCCTACTGCACATATTTACACACAAACACACACATTGCATCCACTACACACACACACACATTGCATCCACTACACACACACACATATTTTTGAAAACATAAAAAAAATCTGACTGGCATGTATATTTTGTGCATTTACCACTTAATAAAAAAAAGTGCAAAAAATGGTATATGTGCAGAATATCGGTAAGCAATCAGCCTGAAAGTTCACAGATTATCGGTATCTGCTCAAAAAAAAAAATCAATATCAGTCAATCCCTACTTTAAAGGGGGTCAGGACTGCATTAAACCATGCAGCCCGATGTGTGACGAGAACTCTTGTCCTTAATGCTGCTTATAGAGTAGGGTATCTTAACTTAAGCGTTAACAAAATTTATGGACCAAAACAGGGTTTGACAAATCCTGGTCGCCATGGCAACTAGAATTTTCGGGAGCATTGTAAGCGACGTATGAGGGAACAGTAATATACCTGCAGTTCTTCGCTGCTCACTTTAATGATGCCGGGAGGTGGAGTATGACGTCCCCTCGGCATCACTACACAGAGCGCGAGGTAGCTGCAGGAAGAGAGCAGCCCCACTGGACCCCAGGGAAAGATTCACTCAGTTCTCCCAAAGGTAGAGAGGCTGGGTGGATTTCAATTAAAATAAAAATCTCAGTTTGTGTGTGTTTAGGCACCTTCCTCCTCCCAATCGCACGAGAGGTGGTTTTACTCAACTTTTTTTCTCATGCCGTGCCCATTTCGCCATGGCGGGTCATGCATTCATGGCTGAAATAATCTGTCTTTATGATCTCGGCTAAGGGAGGGTATTCTGTATGCGCAGCAAAACAATGTACCAATCAGCATCTCCTCATAGAGATGCATTGAATCAGTGCATCTCTATGGGGAACAATCAACGCCTCCATACAGAGCATGGAGAGGCTGAACGTAGGTACTGCACACTGTGCAGCACTGACCAAGTACTCTCTAGTGGCCATCTAAGTGACTGTTACTAGGCAGCAATATAAACACTGCTTTTTCTCTGAAAAGGCAGTGTTTACATTGATGTGTCTGCAGGTACAGGCTATAGACACCAGAACAACTCCATTAAGTTGTAGTGGTTCTGGTGTCTATAGTGCTTCTTAAGAATTGCATTATTCTCCTTGAAAATTGAACTCCAAATTAGTTTTTAACCCCCCCCCTTGTCTCCCCCCCCCCAAAAAAAATAAAAATAGATTCTAAACAAATTTTCAAGCCCTGAACTAAAACATAAAAGATAACTGAGACTTAAACATGTTGGCAAGATCTACATTGCAAACAACACTTTTGGTTATCACAGCCACTAGTTGCTTTCATGTATTCAGTCTGTGAACCCACTGTCCTCTGAACAAGAAGGGTGCTTTTATCTGGGTCCCAGGTTTCCGTATGATTTTCCAGCTTTAGGAGGTGTTTGTGAGGGTGGCAGTCCAATTGCTTACAAAAAGTCAGATACCCCAGACATAGATGTAAGATTGTGAGCAGTCCCGTTATGATTGACTAATAGAGAACCAGTGTTCCCCCATTTGTATGGTACTCCAACTTTTCTCAAAGACACTGTGACAGGTCTGATGGACTTGCGCCGGAGTAGGGTGTCTCTGAGGTTTTGAAAGAATAAAAGCTGGGAGTTTTCAAAGACCAGAGGTGGCTTACCTTTCAGGGCTGACATCATTCGTATTTTGTTGTGCAAAGTCACACATTGTAGTATTACATCTACAGCTACTCAGTAGATCCAATCTAGGATGATTTTATTGGCAACTGAATGTGACCATATAATGGAAAGCAGGTGCCGACTATAGTGCGGCAGTTTGTCGGTCAAGACCGTAGTGGGGACTCGGAATTTTGATGTGCGTTTAACGTTGCCTGTTTTCGAGGGACATTATTTGGGCAGCCTACACTTGCTGCTCTGCTTGAATTTGTTGGACCGAATCCTTGAGGGTGGACACAGTTATGGATTTCAATAATGTCTTCCTCCGTGGTCAGTAACATGTTGTATGTCCGTTTTAACTAGGGCAACATCAGCTGCTATTAATTTTTGTATGTCGACCAGGAGTATTTTTAAGTTCTGTTTAGTGGTGGCGGCTTTTGGAGGACAGGAGCCAGTCTTGGATGGAGATGCTGAATGTTCCTCATAGAGATGATTTGTGCAGCCTTTTGCTGCGCATTCGCAATAAACTCCCAAAGCATTGACTTAGCTGAGATCGTTAAGATTGATCTCCGCCATAGATATCTTCCAGTGGGACTTCTCTGATCATTTTCCTGCTTTTCGCCTCTGCTCTCCTGCATTCTCTCTGTAGTAATGCCGGAGCGTCGTCATATTCCGGCTACCGGCATCACTGAACAGCGCGATGGAGCAGAGAGGAACTGCTGGAAGATTACTGCTCCCACGCTAGCCAGAGCGAATTCCCATGCTACCCCAGGCATTCAACTTCTCTAAAAGGCTGCCAGGACAGAATCACAGGAGCTAGGACAACATTTCTCGTCTACCTGGCGTCTGGGATCTGTCGAGCCCGGAGATAAAATATTTTTAAAATACAAACGTCACCATTTCTTTTTTAATTATTAAAACTGCATCACATGTAGAAGTGTGAACGGCAGACAGCCATCTCAGTCTTGCATTTTTTTTTTTTTTTTTTATCTCCTTATCCCACAAATTGTATTTAGTAGAGCATAGTTGTGCTGCAATTTCATTCTATACCAGTTTATAGTAAAGAATAGATGAGCTGCAATTCCATTTGAGTAAAACGGTTCTGTAAACTGTGGACAGTTGAATCAGGTGGCATTTGTTCGGCTATGGCTTGGAGTAGGAGGATGCTCTTACTTAACTGGTTTGGACAGTAAAGGAGGAAGTAAAATTTTCATATTTGGAGAGGGGGCAATCCATTTTTAAAGAAATGCTTCATTACTGGTGTTACTTGTAATGGACTCTGGTAGGTGTGTGTATATTTGCAACTCAAGCGATCTCTGTATAACTTCCTAGTAACATATTAGTGGGCACAAATCATCCAATATGGAAGTACAGGTTTTTACTTTAAAAAATTTGCCTTTACTTTTCTAAATTAACTCACTGTAGAGGTTTTCTTGGGCATCCATGAAAAGCCACAGGGAGATGTGCAATAACAAGTATTTTCTATGTTTATTCACTAAATAGTTTACTGACGTCAATGGGATAGTCTCATGTAATTGTCCCAAATCCAGAAACCAAACTCCTGAACATCTTTCATATATGAAAGAAGCACATAGGCCATCTTAGTGCATGTAAATGAACAAAGGTTTTAGTTTTATTTTCTATGATCCCTTTTAAGCAGAGCAGCATTACATAATTTTCAAAAGACCCATTCATGGTTTTGTCATAAGCAAAAAATGCAGGCTTTTGAAGACTGACCTCTGAGGAGTGAATGCTATTATCCATTAAACATGTGGATGACCAGATCTGCTTCTGGTACATATAAAAATGTAATCTAAACATTATGCAAGGAAAACTATAGTAGTTTGCATAGGTTAAAACCAGGCTTAACAAATTTTCCCTGAATCTAAGAGCCAGCTAAAAAAGTTAGGAGTCAGCCTGTCCCTGCATGCTTTTCAACGTAAACACTGCCTTTTTGGAGAAAAATCCAGGCACCATGACAAAATTCTTTAGTCGACCTAGCGGCTGGGATTTGTCGAGCCCTGGTTTAAAATATACATACCTGCACTGGCCACGTGTGAACACAACCTAGGCATAGGTGAAATGGCTCAACCTGATTGTTGCATATGTTATAATGTAATATACTCAAGTTTATGTTTACTGTATGAGATTTTGCAATGTATATCACCCAAGCTGGCAGCGTGTATAACCTACCTGCTTCTTTTTACCCTTAAAGGATCAAAGCGGTTTTCCTTACACTATAGTGCCCTGAGGGTTCCCCCTCCCGGGGCGCTGAAGGGGTTAAAACCCCTTCAGCTACTTACCTTATTCCAGCGCCGGGCTCCCTCGTTGAGTGGAGCAGAATGCGCATGCGCAGAAAGTGCCGCGCATTCAATCAGTCCATAGGAAAGTATTTCTCAATGCTTTCCTATGGACGCTCTGCGCGATGGAGGCATAATATGCCTCCAGCGTCGGAGATGCGCCTCTAGTTGCTGTCCGGAAGACAGCCACTAGAGGATGGCTTAACCCTAATGTAAACATAGCAGTTTCTCTGAAACTGCTATGTTTATATCTGAAGGGTGAAAACCTGAGGGACCTGGCACCGAGACCACTTCATTGAGCTGAAGTCATCCCTTTAATAAAGTTTGCCAAAAAAAATAACATATACACATACCTGGAAAAAAACGGCAATGGATATGAAAACTGTCTATTTCTGCCTTAAATAACTTTCCATAATGTGGCTGTAAACTAGACATAGTGGTATGTTAATTGTCTAATAGGGTGGTGGATTTGAATGAAGATGGTTGAGAAGCAATGCAAAAGTGAAGGCTATTGGGCAGAAAAAAAAAATATATATTCTCTTCTAAAAGTAATTTTTATTCATTTTTCCGGTCATTAAGTGGTCTTGCATAGCAAGACCACTTAATGTTATCTCACATATATATTAAGTGTTCTTGCATAGCAAGACCACTTATTGTTATCTCACATATATATTATTATTCTTATTATAGCCAAATTTGCCACCCTAACTCCTCCCACAGTTTTTACACTACATAGACAAAAATTTACCAAAACGTGCAGATTGTTCCCGATCGGATTGCTATTACTTTGTGGAACGTTTCGCCGAATGGTTCACGGAATATCGTCGTTCCTGTGGCGAAATTTGTCCCATAGGAATGAATGGCAAAGCTAGAGTGGGAGCTGGCAAAAGCTGAAAAATCAGGACATGATTTCTAAACTGCCACCACTCCCTTATTTTCAGGCCCACCTACACAAATCTTATATCAAAACGTTCAGCTATCCCTGCTGCCACTAAACATGTCAGCGGCTAAGCCATAGTCCTGATAGTTTTCACAATATAATCATTTGTTTGCAACTAACGCCGTCCATTGACTTTCATTGAAACTTCACTCTGCAAAGCTCACATTTGAAGTGCAATTTCCAAACTGCGACTGTGCCTTCAATTTTAATACTTCAGAGACATACTATGCATCAAAATGTAGGTCTGGGTCTTGTGATTCTCACAATATAAAGCTCTTCGCTGTAGGAGTTATAGTTTAAGATACAACCGTTTGAATATGGCAAACGCCAAAATATTCTGACCTGTGTAAGGCTGCAGCAGCAAGTGATGTCATAGACAGGGCCTTTTGTACACCTGCTAATGTTTTTATAAATGTATGGTTTAATGTAACTGCAACAACGTTGCAATTAAATGTGCTATATAAATGATAAGTTACTCCGCCCACTCCAGTTGTAGACTACTGGTGGAGGCAAGAACACTTCACACAATTTCCCCAGAAATTGTAGCTTTTCTAGTTAGTAAATATAATCCTGAGTCCAGTGGTAACAGGTTACGGACTTCGATGTACTTGACAATTGATGTCAAGAGCCATACGTGTAATTTATCTTTAAACTGTTCTGAATAACTTTCACCTTAAAAGAATCTATTATCTTGCCCCCTGATTAAAGGGTTTAAAAAAAGCTTTTCCGCTTACTTTATTTGCCGAGGTCCCTCGCTGCTGGCTCCGTCTCTAACTTCACTGACGTCTGCACTGGGGGCGAAAACGAATGTGGATGCGCGTCAAGTGCCGCACTCGCGTTTGCATTTCCCATCAGAAAACACTGAATCGGTGCTTTCCTATAGGGATTTTTAAGAAGCTGGACATCCTCATGCAAAGAGTGAGAACATCTAGCGTCGTGTCTTGGAGTTAATCTCGGTGAAACAGTGGCAAGTGCCTTTATTGGTTGTCTTAATCCTGCAATGTAAACATTGCAGTTTTTCTAAAACTGTTTTGTTTTACATTGCAGGGATAAGGGGACTGGTACACTGCACCCAGACCACTTCAATGAGGTGAAATGGTCTGTGTGCTTATCGTGTCCCTTTTTATGTTTTTAAGCTCATTAAACAGTGAAAGAGTGATAAAGTATTGATAGCTCTATTTCGTGTTTTTATATAAATGTCTATAAACGTGTCCCTTTAGAATCCCTTCAAAATTTGAAATTGACTTCTACATAGCGTTTGTTTATTTACATTTAATTTAAAAACTCCATTTGTGCTTTCTTTGTGTTTCTAGTAGAAAACAATCTAAAGTAGTAATTATCTAAAACATCTTATTTCATCTATGAAGCTGTGAAGAAAATGTTGTATGTTTATGAGGTAGCAATTTCTATCAGTCTGTTAAAGGAAAAGCATAATTGTTTCAGTAAAGCGTAGTAGTATTATAGTCTCTAGCCCAGGGGAAGGCAATCTTTGGCTCTCTAGTCTTTGTGTTCAGCATCTCCCCAGATGTTTTACCATAATTATGGCTTCAAGAGCATTATGGGAGGTGTAGTCCACAACATATTGAGTGCTGAAGGATATCTAGCCCTGCTCTAGCCTTTGTGCATGATATTTTGTAATCCATACTTGAATACTGGTACCTTCTTTTCAGTGTATCTCTTGATTTAAGAGAAACTCCATTGAAAACATGCATGTATTTTTAGGACGGGATAGGGATAAGGTCATATGAGTAAAAAAGTTTCCTCCTCCTAAATGTTACACTGCTTCAACATACAACATTTAGTTATTTAAATGTAATTCTGTAATGTATAACTATCAATAGTACAATCCAGGCATCAAAGCCAGAGCCATTCATCTGTATAAAAACCACCATAGTAAATAAACCTATTGTAGTAATTATGGTGTCTGGATCCCCCTTGTGAAACCTCTATTTACGAACGGTTTGATATAAACTGATGTCTTCCTAGTGCCTGTAGATGCTAATGCGGAAGGGAACTTCATGTTAGTGATGTGGGTAGGTAGGGGCTGGGTTGAGTTTTTTAATAAAATATGTAAACATAATCACGAGAGTGCCAAGGGCATTCTGGCACGATATTTACTACATTGGCATTAATGACACCCCAACCACTATCATGTGAACTGGAAACAGCAGCCCTATGCAGGAGTCCTTCCTTCAACTCTATTGAAATTATTTGACAATGTATAGTGCGTACACCTGGATGTTCACTTGCATTACCTATGAGATGCCTCATTACATTTTTTTTTTTTTTTTAACTATCTGAAGAGTGTAATAACAAACAAGTAAACTTTGAGCATCAGTTAAGTTACACATTAGGGGAAACAAAATCACATTTTGATAGCAGAATGTCTGTGCCATTAGGAAAAGATCTGACATTTTGTAAGCTATAGTGAGTTCTGATAAAGTGCTTGCTTTAGGTTAACTTTTTGTAACCCAGTGGTCACAGACTTGAATTCCTAAGGCAGAATTTGACAAATTCAAGTTGCTGTGCCAACAGTGGGAGCCTGGTTTTAAAGATTTGTCTCCCTGTCAGTAAGGTGAGATTGCTATAGGCTCTGCAGCAACATTAATTACAGCTGTGGGAGAATGAAATATCAGAGCACTTCCTCCCATAGCTGTGTATCATAATGCCACATGGGAGACCAAGGATAGCCCTGAAGATTGTATTGGTTATCACAGCATACAAAGACATATGCTCTCCACAAATGCAAAGACAGAATGCTGCATCATTGAGGTGAGCAGCAGGATTAAGAGAAACAGTCAAACCAATTCAAAGGAGATTGTATTAGTTGTCTCTGTGGTAGGCAAATAGTAAATTCAGGCAGAAAGCTTTTGCCTAACTTGTATTAACCCCTTAAGGACACAACTTCGGGAATAAAAGGGAATCATGACGGAATATTTCTGTCATGTGTCCTTAAGGGGTTAAGGCAGGTCAATTTGCAGTTGCCAGGGTGCCTATTGCCTAGCAGTAGCCACTTTTCCAGGTTGCTTGGTTCAGTTTTTGGGAGCAATAGTCAGTTACCTGGGGTTGCCTGGGCACCTATTTATTAGCAGTGAAAATTTAATTGGTGCCAGTTGACGAGCATGGTCAGCATTCCCAGGGGTTACCATGGAGTCTATTGACAAGCAGCTGCTACTTTACCAGGGATGCCTCGAGCAGGGGCCACTTTCCTAGGGGTTTGCCATGGGGTCTGTTGAGCAGCTGCTACTTTGCATGGATGCTTATGTGCTCGAGCAGGGATCCTTTGTAGCTATTGGCAATGAAGGGCCACTTTACTGGGGTGCCTAGACACTTATTGGCGAACAGGGGCCACTTTACTAAGGTACTTTCCCCACCTATTAGAGAGCAATGGCCTCTCTCATGGAGCACTTAAAGGACCACTCTAGGCACCCAGACCACCTCATCTTAATGAAGTGGTCTGGGTGCCTGGTCCAGCTAGGGTTAACCCATTTTTTCATAAACATAGCAGTTTCAGAGAAACTGCTATGTTTATGAATGGGTTAAGCCTTCTCCTATTTCCTCTAGCGGCTGTCTCATTGACAGCCGCTAGAGGCGCTTGCGTGCTTCTCACTGTGATTTTCACAGTGAGAGCACGCCAGCGTCCATAGGAAAGCATTATGAATGCTTTCCTATGTGACCGGCTGAATGCGCGCGCAGCCAGCCGACGGGGAGGAGAAGAGGAGGATCGGAGGAGGAGAGCTCTCCGCCCAGCGCTGGAAAAAGGTAAGTTTTAACCCCTTTCCAGAGCCGGGCGGGTGGGGGCACCCTCAGTGTTTTCCTGGCACTATAGTGGTCCTTTAATAATTCATAGAATACACCCACATAATGGCCTCATCCTATTAATAACATGTTAATCACCCTTGTCTGTAACTTTCAATGTGTTATTCCTCTTCCTATTGGGCATTGTATGAACTATAACCATTTTATCTCATTATAGTGCTTGGAGTACTCTGTCACTGTCCCTCCATTAAGTGTTAAATCATTTTTAAACTGTTTAACAGTAAGGGTCCCTGGCCACCCACAGTCCATCCCCTACTGGAGGTTGGGGCTGTACTGGTATGGCTAAGACTGTGTTACACTTCCTTCTAGCCATACCGATTCATACCAGTAACGGTGGCTGTCAGAGGAAGAAAAAGGTCAGCTCTTTTGTTCAATCACCACCACACCTTGATGCTGGGGACTCTTGTTTGAAATTAAAATATGAAAAACGAACACTGTATGGAGGGATGCTACCACAGGACTCCAGACACTATAACCACTTCAGTGAGATGAAGTTGTTACAATGCCTACAGTGCCTGTTTAAATCAAGATTCTGTTTTATTTGCCAGTCAAATCTACCCACAATCTATCAGTACAATGAATCCCACAGAAGGGCAAACTGTAGACCTCATAAGCAAATGAGAACAACATGGCTGCATCCAGATAGCTAGCACTAGAGAGCAAAAAAAAAAAAAAACCCATGAAGACAAGGAGGGGAGTCAAATCATTCAGATACAAGGGACATTTAGGTTTCTGCAGCATGACCCTGTCTCTCTCACACCTCTGTTTTTGCAAAAATGTCTTTTAGATTGAAAGTTAAAACGCATTGCTTGGTAAATGAGAGATCAGTGGAAGCTGTATTGCTGACTTGACTCTGTCCCACAGCCTATCACAGTCCTCATATTTCCAGATGGCTCATAAATTACACTCTGCAGTAGTCATTGACAAGTAAAAATTTGCTGTGACCAGTAACTTTTGAAACTTTGTTAGTAGCATATGTAGTAGTTTTAAAATGTGAAGCCCTATTTTTTGTATAGTATTTGAAAGCTGTGCCAAGGGGAAAGGGGGCAGACCATAAAAGTACAGTGATTGTCTGTGGTCAGTCATGTCAGTAGTCCATTTCACACTGATCTCTCATGTTCATGCTTTAAGTTGTTTGTGACTAGAGGATATTTTTAAGGTCCTCAGTTTGCCAAAGATTAGGTGCTACATAAAAACTATTTCCAGCTTTTACATATGTATATAGAAGAATATCTAAGGTGAAATCTTAGGATAAATAGGCGGGGAATAGAGCAACAAAAAATGCAAAGTGACCATGCTGCTTTAATTGTAGCCGCATGTCATTATTTTGAAGGTTGGTGGAGTTGAACTTTCATTGTGTTGATAGCTGTAGGGAGTGATTCTCTTGAAGGTTTTTTCCTTTCTGCACCTCCTAAAAAGACAGAGCAGAGGTAGAACATAGGCAGGTATTGATAATTGCTTTGGTGGTTATTATGCTAGGAGTACTTTGGCATTGTTCCTCGGTCATGGGGGGCAAACCATTCTGCAATGGTTTGCTCTTAACTGAGTTGTGGTGTTCTCCTTTTCAGTATGTTTGACATATGGCTTTTGCAGATTCATTCATTGTCTCAGAGAATCAGCTGACCAGTCTCAACTAATGAGTCCGTGTTTGTGTATAGAAATAGACACACAATGACGTTGGGGAGCCTGGAACTCCTTGTTCCGGACTGGGCTGGTTAATGAATTCCCAATGACACTGCCGGAAATATAGTTACTCCTGAACACCAGAGGGGTTAAACGAAGTATGAGCAGCATATCCTAGCAAAGCGCTGCAAATACAGACTTCAGTCACCACAATAACTTCAAATTACTGAAGTGGTCGTGGTAACTGGAGTAACCCTTTAATATATGCAACTGTGCATACTGGCCTCTTGATCACCTCTAAATCCTCATTGTTGTACACTTAAAGATCCTCTCAGATTTCACAGGAATCAGAGTTGGAATTGGCACTGGAATATTTTTTATTTTTTTTTTGACTATATTGGTTTAAAACTGCAAAACCTTTAAACCCCTTTTAAATGCACTTAGATAATTAATTAGTGATATATATATATTTTAAGAGTTGCACCAAAATGAAAATTCTGGTCCTAAATTCAGGATGCCCTTGGCCGAAAACCGAAAATGACTTTTTTCCCCAAAGGATTTTTAAATAGTTTTTTCCTATAATTTTATTAATGACTTTTTAATTTAATGAATCTAATATGAAAAACGTCCCTTCTCGTTTAGTGGCCCCCTACCCCAATGTTCCTTTTCCCTTCCCTGTACACCCTTAATGTTCCTCTCCCCTCACTCTTTTTTTTAGTGTTCTTACCCCCTTCTCCCCTGTTCTTTAGTGGGTTTTTTTCTCCTCCCCTGACCCTTAGTGTTCTTTTCTCCCCCCTCCTCACCTGTCCCATATTGTTCTTTACCCCCTCACCTGTCCCATATTGTTCTTTCCCCCCTCACCTGTCCCATATTGTTCTTTCCCCCCTCACCTGTCCCATATTGTTCTTTCCCCCTCACCTGTCCCATATTGTTCTTTCCCCCCTCACCTGTCCCATATTGTTCTTTCCCCCACCTGTCCCATATTGTTCTTCCCCTCACCTGTCCCATATTGTTCTTTTCCCCTCACCTGTCCCATATTGTTCTTACCTGTCCCATATTGTTCCTACACCTGTCCCATATTGTTCTTTCCCTCACCTGTCCCATATTGTTCTTTCCCCCACCTGTCCCATATTGTCTTCCCCCTCACCTGTCCTATATTGTTCTTTTCCCCTCACCTGTCCCATATTGTTCTTTCCCCCTCACCTGTCCCATATTGTTCTTTCCCTCACTCTGTCCCATATTGTTCTTTTCCCCTCACCTGTCCCATATTGTTCTTTCCCCTCACCTGTCCCATATTGTTCTTTCCCCCTCACCTGTCCTATATATATTGTTCTCTTTCCCCCTCACCTGTCCCATATTGTTCTTTCCCCCCCCACCTGTCCCATATTGTTCCTTTTCCCCTCACCTGTCCCATATTGTTCTTTCCCCCCCTCACCTGTCCCATATTGTTTTCCCCCCTCACCTGTCCCATAGTGTTCTTTCCCCTCCATCACCTGTCCCATAGTGTTCTTTCCCCTGCATCACCTGTCCCATAGTGTTCTTTCCCCTCCATCACCTGTCCCATAGTGTTCTTCCCCCTCCATCACCTGTCCCATAGTGTTCTTCTCCCTCCATCACCTGTCCCATAGTGTTCTTCCCTCCATCACCTGTCCCATAGTGTTCTTCTCCCTCCATCACCTGTCCCATAGTGTCTTTTCCTCCATCACCTGTCCCATAGTGTTCTTCCCCTCCATCTCCCCTCCATCATCCCATAGTGTGTTTTCCCCTCCATCACCCATAGTGTTCTTCCCCCTCCATCACCTGTCCCATAGTGTTCTTCCCCCTCCATCACCTGTCCCATAGTGTTCTTCCCCCTCCATCACCTGTCCCATAGTGTTCTTCTCCCTCCATCACCTGTCCCATAGTGCAGTATTCTTGACTTTTCGTGTTATCATTACTATCATTCATTGTGATATATAATCATTTTAATTGTCAATGCAAGCATGTCTGTTAAACTATGCACTACAAAAATTAAAATATATTTAAAAAAAGAAAAATAAATCGTCCAAATTGACCAGTTTTTGGCCTAAATGGGATATATAGCTCTCCCTCTCCCACCAGATTAAACGTGTGTAATATCCTACCGCCAACATTTGTATTTCTCAAGGGACAAGCATGCTTATTATTTGTGCTATTTATGTATGAGGTATTTTAATGTAACACTAGCTGATTTTTCCAATTTCTTATTTTGCAGGGACTAGTTTTTCTCCACAAGAAAACTCACATAACCACAGTGCTCTTCACAGCTCCAATTCACATTCTAATCCAAGTAAAACATCTGATGCTGTAAGTTGGTGACAAACAAAACTTGTTTAGATTTTAAGGCGTGTATGTGTTTTGTTTTTTTCCTGTTTGTAGTATTTTACCTTTTTCTTATTCAGCGCAGTTGTATTTTCTTTAAACTTACTGTGAGCTTTCTTGTCACAAGTGGTAACATCTAAAGTAAAAGTGTTGTGCCTGATTTGTTTAATTTTCTAAACCTATATTGCCTTTTTTTGTTAGCACTGTTTTCTTTTTCAATTTGCACTTTAATCCATTGACTTTAAAAAAAAAAAAAAAAAAGGGGGTGGGGGAGGGGACATTTAAAGGGCTCCTCAGTCAAACTAGTTTATAAACTTTAGGATGTTAATACAGTTTCGGCTCGTGAAGTTCATCTTGCAGAGATATTGGGAAGTAGGGATGTTAATTGGGAAATATACAAACGAAAAAGCAAAATGTGACTGACCTTTTCATTGTAGAAGAGGAATAAGGGTAAATATTGCTTGTAAGTGCTTTTCACTGCCTTTTCATTAGACATGAGTACAGCTCTATTCAGATTTGTGTGTGTGTATGTGTATATATATATATATATATATATATATATATATAATATAATTTTTTTTTTTTATATAATTTTTTTTGCTTGAATAGGGACTTTTATGTGCTAGATTTTAAATTCTCATCTCAAACATGGCTGTTCCTCTTTAAAATAAGCTATCTAAATTGTAGATGTCCTTGACCTTTCTAGAGCTTATATAGTCTAAGGTGGTAGGAGCAAAAAAAAAATAGATGCCTTTTGAAGTATGGATTTTTAGGTGGACACTGTGGCTACCATGGGCTGACAATTATCATTGTGATGGATTAAATGCCTAAAAGCACTGATGACAACTAGTAGCTGAAACGTACATGTGAGGTGGAGCAATAACTCTAGAACTTGGTATCTGGTGCAACAGGGAAGATTGAAGACTGACTTGTATCTGGCTGGAAAAAAATGTCATGGCTTAAAACCTTGAAACTTTTTTTTTTTTTGTCAATCTTTCTTTTATTGAGGCATATTAGATGGGGTACAGAAACAAAGAGAGGGAAATGCAAAAACGGTTTACAATAAAGGGTTAGTACATCAATAGCGTAGTGATGCCTCATTTTTTAATTGTGTTAACTTGTCGTGTAACAAAAGCATGTTGTAGCTAGTAGCCATGCCTATCCAGATAGACTATTAAAAAGTAACATTAGACTATGCAATAACTTAGGCACGCAGTAAATAAGTAGTATGTGAGGTCTTAGCAGAAAAAAACAACGTGCGGTATCAGTAGGGTACATGCTAACATTCCTTGTTGTGTTGTTAAACTTTTTAGCTTCACCGTAATACCTAGGTGTAAGGTAGTGACTAGTGTTTGAAATCATAAGCATAAGTGGTTGTGGCCCGTGGGTAGTCTGTATACTCATGTTTGTAGAGAAAAAAAAAAAAAGGTAAGTTTGAGAACACGTTTTAGCTTCATGTGTCGGAAAATTTATGCCAGTGAGCAGCGTGGTGAGTTTAACTGTAGGTGATAGTCCAGCAAGAAGAGTCCGTGAGGGCTGCTCAGCCTAGGTCCCTAGTTGCCCTCGGTTGAGTGTTGATGGGACTGCCAGTTCGAAGGCCTAGTTCAGCCTGTACCGCAGCGCGGGCCGGTAGAGTGGGAAGGGTGACACTGTCGTTCCAGGAATTCCACAGAGGTGTGACATAGTGCAGGTTGGCGACTGCCGTCCTCCGGCCCCAGGTCATTATGAAGGCCTGCACCCGTGATCCGACTCGGTTACTCAGAGGCCGGGTCGTTCCTTCGTGGGGCTTGGCCTCCGGCGATGTGGTCGGAGTTTGACTCCTTGTGGTCTTTGGCCTGGGGAGGTATTGTGGACGGCCCCCACGTAGTAGCCTCCGGGAGGTGATGGATGCGTTGGTCTGTTTGTCGTGACTTGTAAGCGCTGCTCCTTCACCTTGAGGCAAGTCTTTGGGCTTGACTGGGTTGTTGCGGAGCTGATCGCTGTCTCGTTGCCTCCGGCCCTCTGTGCGGTCCGATGCCGGGGGAGCCTGTGCTTCCTCCCGCCTGATCTTGTGTGGGTGAGTGCGTGGCCCGGTTACCGGCTCAGCCTCTGGGTCCGACGGGAACAGAAGGGCCTCCAGCTTTTCCCTGAAGATTTGGAAGGCCGTGTCCAGCCGATGCTCGGCCTCTGCCAGCTCATTGTGCGTGTTGGGGAAGCACACCGCCTCCGCCATTTTGTGTGCTGTGTCATCGCTTGTGGCAGGCCCCTGTGTCGCCACGGCTTTCTTGCCGGGCTGTATCAGGGTCTCCCGAGGGTGGACCGTGTTGCATCGTTGTGTGCCCCTGGGTTTTGCCTGTCACCTGGAGGTCTTTTTGGACCGATCAGATCCCGTTTTGTCTGTCTGAATCTGTTTGTTTATTGCCGCAGAGCAGGAGCTATACGAGTTTGCATCCTCTGCTCTCAGTGGTCAGGCACCGCCCCCCACCTTGAGACTTTTATGTGTAGAATGCTAGGTCCTTGATCTGCTGTGAGGCTTATGAAGACAGCATTTCTTTGGTCACCAACTTTCTCAAGAAGATTCTGCTCCAAGAAAAACACACTCTCCTTTTGGATTTCCAGTCAACTTTCATTTTTCATGCATTTGTCAATGTATGAAAAGACTGAAATCTGGTTGGTGGCAAATGTTGCAAAAATTCCTTGATACTCCTGCATTGAGTATAAACTGATCACACTTGTGACTTGAAGCTAGATCATTCTACACACTTTTGCATAAGGAAAGCAAACTTGCAAAGACATGTACTCAATGAAAAGTTATGTATGAGTAAGTATCCATCTCATCACATTTACTCTTCTGGATGTACTATAAAGATTCTGCTGTTAAAATTGGCATCAGTATGGATAACTGATGATTATAAATCTTTAAATGTAACTGTTTTTTTTATTTAAATTTAAGTTCTTTGGTTGGTCCTTGTTGAGAGCATCATATTTTATTATTATTATTATTATTAGCCATTTTCTCCATTATTATGACAAGCAGGGAAAAGCAAGATAATATTCCGTTAAAATGACTGCGGTCTCTATTTTGTGTGCTATCAATTGACTGTTTTGGATGATACTTATACTGATTTAAAAACATCTGGATTCTGTCTCACACTATTCTCATGTACAGTGTGTATGTTTTGTCTGGTTGTCTTATTGATAAGAAACCTAAAATATAATTAGAATAATATATATTGTTGAAACAACTTTTAATTAATGACACCTTGAAGCACACAAGTAACAGTTGACTTTTTTATTCTTTATATAAAAAAAAGTTTTTTTTGTTTTTTTTTATGAACAGGCTAAAATAAAATTTCTTTCAAAAACATGAAAATATTACTTTACTGTCATCCCTCCTGTGTTTGCTACATATTCCTACAATTTGTTGGTCATGCAACAAGGTTTGTTTAAAGAAACACTATAGCACTAAGGGTAACAGTAGGCGTAACACTGTCAAATTATGTGGTATAAGGTATGTTAAACAGATGTTCCTGTTTCAAAGACAAGATTTAGGCAATTCTGCACTAGGCACCAGTTTTCTCTGACTATCATTACAAATTATCAAAATGTAACTTTTCATTTCTTGTCCTGCCAACAACTTCTCATCTTTTACGGTGATAATCTCCCACAAAAAGCTACTGGCCAGCCCGAAAGTCTGAAATTGTGTTTCATGTCTAACTAGGTTACTAGCATCTTCTGTGCATGAGCTGCTTCTGTCCTTTCCCTGCAAATCACTTGCAGGGAAAAGGGTCACGACACAGCCAATCTAAAACAAAATGGCTGGATCTGGGTGGCATTCTCTTGTTTGCCAGTACCTTTTGAGAGCTAATTTCAGTATTTAAGTGATCTCTCAAACCCTGCAGTAGATGTTTTAATTTTATTCATTTAATGTAGTGCTTAACCCCTTGCTTCTTTTCTCTATATGTAATAAAGCTGTTTAAGGTTAGATTAAGGGTTACTTCAACCACCATAATTATTGTTTTTAGAAGTAGTCATAGAGTAGGAATCTGCATGTGCAACATTTCTACTTGAAATACTGCACATACAGAGATATTTTCACTTTAGGGACTAGTTACAACCCTTGCACAAGTGACGTTGGCAGACTGGAACTCTGTTCTGGATAGCCTAATGTTAATTCTGTGCATAAATAATTCTCAGCTTTTACCCTTGCAGGCAGAAGTGGGATAGCGCATGCAAGGGGAAGCTTGAATGTTCCCTTCCTCAGTTCTGTATAAGAGCTGTCCCTGGCGCCCTACAATTCTTAACTCGTTATATATTCCCTCTGTTGTCTGCCCACCACTCCCTCTAACCATGTGTGTGCTCTGAGCAAGTGAGAACTGTGGGAGCAATTAAATGCTTCTCCGTAGAAACACTTGAGTTTCTTCCAGTGCTGGTCTCCAGGTAATTTTTTTTTATTTATTTTTTTTAACAGTTTTGGGCATTGAAAAAAGTGGGTGGGCATCGTTATTAGTATCATATAGGTTTTAAAAATAAACAAATTTTAAGTGTTCTAGTAACCATTTAAGATAAGAGAATTGTAGTAGGTTTATGGGATGTGTGAAAGGTTGTCGTTTTTTTTTTTTAATTTTCTTAAAAAATTTTTTTATTTTTTTAATCTTACATTTCTTGACTTCTAAAAATTATTATTTTTTTAATTTATTTTGTAGGCTTATGATCCTGCCGATGACTGGTCTGAGCATATCAGCTCTTCTGGTAAAAAGTATTATTATAACTGCAGAACCGAAGTTTCCCAGTGGGAAAAACCTAAAGAGTGGCTTGAGAGGTATAGTTGGCTTGATACACTAGCTTGTAACATACATTTTCTTCTAAGTTTAATGATAAACTGGTCCAGGCACACCAATGTTTAAGTCTTCTCTTTTTATATGCAGAGAACAACGGCAGAAGGAGTCCAGTAAAGTGGCCGTTAACAGTTTCCCCAAAGACAGAGACTACAGAAGAGAAGCAATGCAAGCCACAGCTACTGGTATGTAACATCTGAAATGTATACCATTGTAATAGCATTAAAATATTCAGGACAGGTATCATGCTATTACATCCATAATGCTGATGAAGCATCAGGGGAGATGTAGTCCACAATATCTGGAGTGCCAAAGGTTGCCTACCCTTGATTTAGGCCCAAATAGCTGACATGGAAAAGTAGTTATTTTCACTAGAGTCGCATCTAGGCTATGTAATTTTAAATTTAACTATTTGTACACTTACCTTTATGAGTTATAGTGACTATGGTGTGACCCTTTATTTTATTTGTTTTGCTCTGTTATGTTAATTTTTAATGCTATATGTAATACCTATTTCCAAATGTGTGATTGCAGTGGGTTTTTTTCACAAAAAATATTTAACAAGAGTTTGTTTTGGCTTTTTAGATATTCCATTGATGCAATTACTGCTGTCTAATAATATTGCATTTATTAATGTGTTTGGTTGCTGTAAGATTAAGGAATTGTATTTGTTTGTTCTCTTCTTGTTAATGTCCAAGCAGTGGATGAGAAACATTCCAGTGATGCCAGCAGCATGCTCCCACAGAACATCCTATCTCAGACCAGTAGACATAATGACAGAGACTACAGACTTCCCAGAACAGAGACTCATAGTAGTGCTGCCCCAGTGCAACACTCGGTCAAGCCAGTGGTTCACCCATCTGCTGCCCAGAGCACTGTTTCTTCTAGCCCTTATGCAGTACAGCCTGATCACCCACCTCCAAAGAAATCCTTTGACGCAAATGGAGCAGCTACTCTGTCAAAGCTGCCCATGCCCACTTCCTCAATTTCGACATCAAAATCTGACCGAAAAGGTAAATAAGTACAATCTGTTGCCAATGCATGCAGTCCAGGGCATTTGGAACGGTTTGTGTATAGCTGTAGTGTGTTGTTTATCTCTTGAATAGTTTTTGCAAGCAATGCTGATGCACTATTCACATCCAGTGTGTCTTGGATGTGATGTTTTTTGAAAACGTATGTTGGAAGTTGGTTAAAAGGTGGTGGGTTGTTTTTTTTTTTTATTTTTTATTTTTTTCTCTCCTTGAAAAATTGAGGTTGTTTTTTTTTTTTTTAATTTTATTTTTGTGGTAAATTATTTACTTTGTAATGTATACAGTCCATGCAGAATGCTAGAGTGTTGCAAAGTGGGTAATCCTTATAACTAAAAATAGAATGTAAATGTGAGGTAGTCTTTATAAGTATATTGACCAGTTCATGAAGTGTCTGTGTTGAACAGTAGATAATAGTTCCACTCCTTATCGAATGTGTTACCAAAGTTCATGAACCTGGTAATGTTTGTGTGTACTTTGTAGTACATAAAGAAGATAGATATATATATATATATAAATTTTTTTTTTTTTAAAGCATGCAATTCATACACGTACAGTAGTTAATGGATTTCTATATTGTGCTTCAGCGCTGAAGAAGAAAACATGCTCTGCATTATATTTTGCAGAATTACAGTGCATAAACATGAATGAAACAATGTAAAAGCAATTTCATTGATTGCACCTTCCTTTGACTTCTAGCCAAGCATGCAATGCAGCTTCTGAATATCCTTTGATTCTTGTGACTTCAATGTGCATACAATACCTGTAGTTTGGTAATAACAAAACAAACAGATTTTTTTTTTGGGATGCATTATATTACATTTTCTAATTAAAATCATGGTTATATCTCTGTGATTCCAATTGAAAGGAAATGTTTCACTAGGAGCCCCAATTTAATTCAGTGTAGCTAAATCAGTGTCCAGAGCCAAAATCAAATCTTTAATATTTCCATCTCTATATTTACAGTTGCATAACCCCCTGTTTTGCAGAGTTGTTAATGTTAAGTTGTGTATCTGTGTATATATACCCTTCTTGTTTGTTTTTTTGCTTTTTGTTTAAATAAAATTGTTGTTAAATGTACCTTACCAAGGTAAGCCTGATAGCCTCAAGAGGCGTATTCTTGTCCAAACTTAATCTTTGTAGTTGCTCAAAAACAAAATTTTTTGTTTTTCTTAGAGAATATGGAATGCATTTTAACACCAAAAACACTCTTAATGTAGCAGTTTTAGTGCTTAGTCCTTTAAAAAATAAAAATAATAATAATAAAAAAAAAATATATATCTATATTTATCTATACATATATATAGATATATATATATCTCCACTAGTACAGCTGTGTGAATCTTCAGTTTGTCAACAGTTGTACAGATTAGAACAAAAAAAAAGACATGTATTGATATGTGTTTTGATAGATGGGGCATGACTGTACAATTGCAGTGGTATTTAGGAAGGCTTGAGATTTGAATTTAGCACTGGGTTAAAAAATATTAATTTATGTTGTCTCTGTTTCCCATTGTTAAGATTGATGTATGGGGTTTTCATAAAATTTGAATGTACCCTGAGGTTTAGTGTTCTACCATACTTGAAAGTAGACTTTACTTATTGAAATACTACAGGCCTAGGTTTCCTCTCCCTGCCTTTACTGGACAGCAGCACTTACTGTAACAAATTAATTAATATGCATTGATATGCCCCATGAGCCACCCACCTCCAAACACACAAATATACCAATTGTCTGTGTGTCATTCATCAGGACAGGTTGTAGTGCAGTCACATTTTTTTTTTTTTTTTCAGGATGGGTCCTACTGGTTTTATGTTAAAGGCAACAGATTTGTTTAATCCTTTGCAGAGCAATGCATTGGGGTAACATTCACTTAACGGGTCATATCTTTTTATTCATATGGATACTATAATTTTCACTTGTGTTGTATGTTAGCTTGAGAAAGGCTCTGACGTAGAGCCCATTGCACTGTGTGTTTCAGAAGATCTGCCTGAGGAAGTTCGGTTTGTGCTCAGTCCCTTGCTGTAAGTTACTTGAGTAAGATGGGGGCGGTTCCGGACTGGTGGCACTTCATTTTTAGGTTAAAAAAAGCAAAACAATACCTGGGTCAGTTTCAGGCTGGAGATAATTATAAAATAGTTTGTTTGAAATGTGTAAAAGTATGCTGATGCATATACCTGCCCCTTCCACATTCTTATAGCGGCTGCATGAGGTCTGCAGATGCATATGTTTTTTTGTTGTGGAAGGTACTAGATAATGGACTAACTTACACATTTGAATAAAAGTAGATCTGTGTCTTGAAATATGGCCTGGCATATTGGTCTTGTCAAAGTGCAATAGATTGTAGCCTTATGGCATAAACATGTTTCAATATGATGCATATTGCTTGTTGCTGAATTTATTTTATACCCACAAATGGGGGAATAAAGGAAATTTAAAAAAAAATAAAAAAATTTCTGCCATATTTGGTATGAACTAAAAAATGTGCCATAGTGGAAAGGGTTGAATAAAGAAACATTAACGGTTTAGAATATACAGTCTACAAATTTATAATCACCCTACTCAATTTGTAGATTTCATTCCATAATTAAAATGTAAAGGGAAAATCTAAAATATTGCTATACCCAGATTCTTTGTCCGTGTGCCAGTTTGTATCTTGGCTTGACATGCCATGAACTTTTTACTATTGCCAAATCAGTGCACACTTACTAAAACATCAAAATTTGAAGTATTCTGTTCATGATCTCTACCTGGTTAATTCTTGGTGTCTTTGGTTTCTTTATCGTGATGCACTGGATGCATAATTTGGATTAGTCTCTTGTGGACAACATATATTTTATTTGTTTCTTGGTATGTATATGTGCTGTTTATAGATAGTATTCTTTTTTTTTTTCATGTATATTATATGGATTCATGTAGTACATAGTAAGTCTTGCCTTAGTGCAATCCAAATGTGCAAGTAAAAATCTGAATACAGATCATTTAAAGAATTACGCTGTCACAAATGTTCCAACATATAGTTGTCTCTTTAATGTTCTGATGTCTGTAGGCAGGGTCTTATAGACCTCTGCTTCCTATTGGAATGTTTGGACTACTTTTTGTCTTATGATGCCTAACTTTGATGCAGATTACTGATAAAGTCTAGAATAATTTTAAAGGGATGCTATAGTTACCAAAGCAAGTTTCACTGCTCAGTTTTCTGCCATTTGGAAGTTGTCACTTTGTTTCTGTTTATGCAGCCTCCCCTGGCTGTGTCTCCACAGCCTGCATGTAAGCAAAATTGGTAAATAAATAGGATCTGTTGCCAATGTATGCAGTCCAGGACATTTGGAACAGTTTGTGTATGATTGTAGTCTGTAGTTTAACTGTTTAATAGTTTTTGCAAGCAATCCTTATGCTATATTCACATCCATCCAACATGGTTTCATTTTCAATCTGATGTAACCAATTTTAATGTTTTTTTTTTTTTTATCTCTTGCTCTGTAAATTATTTACTTTAATTTCATACAGGAGGCTCCTGCAGGGTTTAGGAAGATATTAACAGAGGAGAATTAAACATAATTTGCAACAAAGGAAGTGTAAACATTAGGTGACTCTTTACAGGAAGTGTTTAGAAAGGCTGTGCAAGTCATATGCAGGAAGGTGTGACTAGTGCTGCATAAACAAAGTGGTTTAACTCAATGGCAGATAATTTAGCATTGAGACTGAAGGGGCATGAATATACACTAAAACTGCTTTATTCAGCTAAAATTGTTTAGGTGACTATAGTGTCCCTTTAAACATCTCCTGTATCCTGTGTTGGGAATGCCATTGGAAAATTTATCCAGGTTTATTTTGCAGGGTACCTGGGTTTGAGAGTGTAAGTGTTTTTAAAGATACAGTATAGACACCCACACCACTGCATCTCAATTAAGTGGTCTATGTGTAGTTTCCCTGCCCTCTTAAGCCTGCAATGTTAAACATTGCAGTTTTTGAGAAACTGCAATGTTTACATTATTTTTTTTTATGAATGGGGAGCTACTGATTGGCTTAGTGTCAGCTGACCACTCTATATATTCTTTTCACTCACTCTCTTTCTCTCACACACGCTCTCTCACGCTCCCTCTCCCTCTCTCACGCTCCCTCTCTCACGCTCCCTCTCCCTCTCGAGTCAAGAGATGAGCCAGTATTACCACAAGAATCATAATCGTGTATATTTCTTTTGTTACACCACGGATGAAGTTAATCTGATTTGAGTTTGTTTAACTGATGTATATAATGATGTATGTCATACACCTATTAATGCTTGTAGTGTTACTGAATGTCCTCATCCAGACTGTTTGTTTACCTGTACTCTTAAATAAAGAATTAAAAAATATACACATATTAAAGGTATACTATAAATCTAAATAGAGACTTGAGCAGTGAGACTGGAGGGTCGGTCTTCAACTCCTGGCACTTCATCTAGCCCTTTGCTAATCACAGCTGTTGAAAAATGACAAAAGCAAATAGATTTACATTTTGTTGGATGGGTCAGTTACACAGTCTTGATTTTGTCACCTACTTTTACTTTTAATTTCAAAGAAATTACAAAAGTCAGTATGAAGTATGTGAAGTGCTCAGAAGAGATTTGTCATGTATTTATAGATGTCTTTGTACTCTTCTGTGTTCAAAATAGAAAAATGTTCAGCTTACAACACTCCAGCGCCATTGGATTGTTTGCGGGGGTGTGTGTCTAGGGTTGTGGCATATTCCCCCCCCCCTCACAATGATGAGGTTCTGGCTGCTGGCTGCGGTCAGTACAGTTTATTGGATACCTTTAGACCTATTGAATACAACTTGCTAAAAAGAAAAGTCTCTCATGGCAGTTGAAGTGGTGGAACAGGGGTCTGAGACACTGGGTTGGAATACACAGTAGTGCAGGTTCAAATCCACCCTGTGCTATTTTGGTGGGTAATTGGTTTGAAACCAGATTGGAAGGTGTTGTAACATTCCTGGTGTTTAATATTATTTTTGTTCTATTGAGGTTACACAAACAAAAAGGTACATGGGGGCGTTTTGAAATATTTGTTCTAAGAAGTGCATAGAAAACTACAGTTAGTGTGTGTTTATCTCTCCACTTACAGAGCTAAATACCTATTTGAAATGGAAATCAATCAATCAATAAATTGATTATTCTTTGTGTATTTGCCCCTGGCCAAATTAAGAGACAATGCGTGCACGCTCCCTGAAGTAATTCACACCAGACACAGGTTTCAGGTTGATGAATAACTTGAGGAATGTTTATTCAGAGGGGACGGCAGGTCCCTTTTAAAGCAAAATTACATCATAAGCATTGTCAGAGATAACATGAAATAATAAATCAATAATTGGTTAGGTGTTAAGTGGTCTTCTTAATGCTCTGCCTACTAAGGGTGATGTCACTGGGACCATGAGGGTCTCCCCCAGATTCCAGCGCCATCTTGTTACACGAGGTGGTTAGTCGGTGTTATAGGGAGGGAGGGGTTAGAAGCTTCTAGTGGCCATTTTGTCTACATATGTGTTAATAGCTTATACACTGATTTCAGTTAAATGAGTAAATAGGCATTTTACTAACTAGAAAATATGTCAATATCTCATTTCCACAACACTATTTAATTTTTTATTTAACATAAAAGGCAATATTTGTTTAAAGAGAGACCATATATTGTATGCACCAGAACCATACAACTAAATGTAGTGGCTTTTGTGTATAAATTACACACAGGCTTTCCTCTGACAAATGTAAACATTGCTTTTTCTGAGAACAGATGTGGACATTTCTTTAGACTGACAGCCACTAGACACACCTCCTACTTTAGAATAAAAACAAGAAGTTACCTGTGCATTATCCAAAATGCCTATACACAGTAACTTTTTATTGTTTCTTATTTTTAAATAAGTATTCGATGTATGGGGGCTGGCCATTGCTGTCACCCAGGAGTAGCGGGAGTATGAGCGCAGGGCTTAATTTTGTGTGCTTGTACTTCCTACTTAAGATCTTCAAGAATCGGACATCTTTCTGTGAATGTCATAACACACAGCAATGCTCTGTGAAGCATATGACTCGCGCAGAGCGAGGATTGCCACGCAAGCTGTAGGCCGCCCTTAAGGAGAAACATTACATTAGATAAGTCAACTATACTGTGGACTACACATAAAGTGGAAGAGCTGCATAGTTTATTGTAGTAAAAAAAATTGTAATCAAAAATAAAGGTTTTATTGGTTTTTTTTTTTATTTTTTGGGGGTTTAAGGGTTTTTTTTTTAAAGCAATTACTGTGCTGAGTGCCCTCTCATGCATTATAGAATTTATCACGTCTTCCACATTTGTATCGTGCCTTTACCTTCTTTGTTATAGCAAACGCGATCGTCACTTTTTACACTAACTGTGATTGCATTAAATACCACAGAGAGAAAGGTAAGCCAAAAAGTGACATTGCTCTTGAATGAGCGACAAAGATAACTTTTCTCAGACGGTCTTATCATGCAATGAAAGATCAAGATAAGTACATGTTTGTACATCTTTTTATTTTTTTAAAGCTAGTAAGCAGCATTAGATTTGCAATTTTTTAGATATTCGTAGTAAGTGCAGTAAGATGTACATGTCACATATATTTCCAATGGCAATTTCCTGGTCTTTGTATGTTGTAATACACATTTGCGTGAGCATGTACATGTATTTTGAAAATATTTACATTTTACTTTTCTAATTCAAGCAGATGAAGTGTCCACATATTATCCTTTGCCATTAACCCCTTAAGGACAGAGCTTCAGAAGCTTGTCTTTCACTTAATGACAACAGTATTTTTTTCATATTTTGCTGTTTGCGTTCAACTGCAATTTGCATTTTACTAATTTATTGCAGCGACACATATTATATATCGTTTTTTTAAAGGACAGAAAGGGCTTTAATTTGATGTAACACACATATATATAAACTTTTTAGAAACCAGAAAAAGGTGGAAGCTTAGTATATGGTAAATTGATAAGGCAGTGAAGGGGTTAACCCTAAATAGAATAGAATTTAATGAGAGAAGGAAAGGCACTGCTGTGGAAGAAATATTTTTTAAAACATATCTTTTAATAGTGAAACCTTTTAATTGTTTCACTATTAAGTTATGTTTTAAAAAAATATTTTTTCCACGGCAGTGCCTTTCCTACTCTCATTATACACATATATATAAATGCTTATTTATTATTAAAAAAAATACAGAAAAATGCAAAAAAATAGAATTTTTTTTTTTTTTTAGTGCAGGTTAAGGAAAGTAATTAAAAATAAATTAATTTAGTTGTTCTGATTTACAGAATATATAATGTGTCTGGGATTTTAAGGAGTAAAATAACCTTTTAATGTGTTGCGATTTTAGAAGATTTTGTCCCTCTCTGGCTGTGGATCTGCCAGCAGGGGGACTGTCTGAAATGTAACAGTCCCCCTGCTGGTGGGAAGTATAAAAAAAAACATTTCTATTTTAATTTTACACACGTCTAATATATGTACTTATATTATTATTAAAATACACTTTGTATGACGTTACATATATATAATATGTGTATATATACATATTATATATGTAACGTCATACAAAGTGTATTTTAATAATATAAGTACATATATTAGTATTAAAATACACTTAGAATGACGTTACATATATAATATATATTATATATATATATACACACATATATATTTACAATATAAATAAAATAATAAAATAAAATATTGAAACAAATATATATATTAACAAAATACAGTTAGAATGACATTCTATATATATATATATATATATATATATCTATATATAAAATATAAATAACTGCAAATATATATAAATACATATTACATAAAAGATTACATTAGTATAACATAGAATTTAAATACCTATAAATGCATATATATTAAAATTCTACATGTATAATCTATTATTTTCAATTCTTTATTTAGGTCGTGCATGAGCATAACAGTCAAGTGTGCATAACCACAATGGTTGTCGTACACAGATCATAAAACAAAGGATTATATATATATATATATATATATATATATATATATATATGTGTGGTGTTATAAGCTAGGCACATTTTTGTTTTATATAGAGAAGACTAAAAGATACATTCCGGTCTAGGCAAGCATTTTCATATGTCATAAAAGTGACCTGCTAGAAGGCTCGTAGGGAACGTTTGAGGCTATATTCTGTGCTAGATTGCGCTAATTTACAGAAGTGTACATATGCAAATTTTTTAATTGCTTTTACTGTTCCCTGGTGAACTAAAGATATAATAAAATAAAATAAAATGAGGTACCATGGCCCTACTGGGGATAAACACACAATTTATTGTTTCATCCTGGTTGGTATAGCTATCGTGAGGAGCGTTACTGGCGTTTATTCGCCGTTGAAATGCTGCCAGGATTTTTCTTGTGGGGCATGTTATGCCTAAATCTAGTAGCAATTACGCCCGGCTATGGCAGATTTGTGGTCTATAGGTAGGCTAGGGTTGGGCGGGGGGGGGGCGGAGAAGCAAAGTGGTCGATAGACCTTCCTATTAAAGGAGTGTGGCCAACAGGCAATTAACTTTAGTAGCCTAATAACTTAACCATGGCTGTAAAACATGTAAATATATGTAACAATTGAACAATTAAGTCCAGCATATCACGGTTCAGTGTCCAACATATTTCAGGTAGTCACATTCCCGATCAGGTCAGCCGTGGGACCGCGAGGGACGAAGGGTGTCACACTTTCGGGGTTCCACCTGTGTGTCGGTTTGGTTGTACCTTGAGTCACAGCTCCATTCAGAGCGTCCTGAGGGAGTCCCAGTGTGGGGAGTAGCGCTGTGGCTTCCCGGAGGTCTCGCACTTCGTATGTTGTATCTTCATGTAGGAACATCAATTTGTGGGTCTGGTGCCATTTATATTTTAGTCCACGTTTCTGCAGAAGTGTCGTGAGTGGTCTGAGCGACCTTCTCCATGCCAAGGTGCCCCCTGTGAGGTCCGCGTAAAAAGAGAGTTCCATTGTTTCGAATTTGTAGGGGGAGTAGTTTCTGGCCGCTGCCAGGACAGCATTTTGGTGGAATGTTGCTGGAACCGGACGATCAGGTCCCGTGGCGTGTTGCTGGAGCCGAGGCCGGCTTTGGTGCCCGGAAGAAACCATCCACGGTGAGTGCTTTTGCCTGCCGTGGTGATAGTAGGGCCGCAAGTAGGCGCCTCAGGAGGTGCGGTAGTTCGGCCTGTGGGGTATTCTCCAGGATGCCCCGTACCTTAATGTTGTTAGCCCGGCGTGCATCCCTTTTAACGCTGTAAAACGGCGTTCATGTTCGACGTTCAATTTCTTCAAACCTTGAACCTCTTGTTGTAGTGAGGCAAGTTGGTCTGAGCAGACGTTGGAGGCAGTCTCTAATGCTCCCATGCGGCCTGTCAGGCCGTGTATGTCGTTGCGGAGTGAGGCAACGTCTGCATGGATGGTCTCTTGGAGGTCCGCGAGGAGCGCCTTCAGTACCTCCGTAGTTACCGGTGAGGCATCCGTCTTTTGGACGGCTGGGGTAGGTCTCTGCATGGGTGTTAAGTCCGCTGTATCGTCCCTTGAGGAGAAATCGTCTGATAAGTCGGAACAGTTTTCCGGGTAGGCAGCCATCTTGGGCCTAGCGGTCTTGCGTGTCTGTTGCAGAAGATCCGCAATGTTAGGTCCCTTCCTCGGTTTTTCGGGTCTTATTTTCTTGGTCTTGCGCCCCATCTTGTTGTATTATCACCCTTGGACCTTGAGAGGAGCCCAAAGCGGGTGCAATTGTGTGCAAATGATGATTTTGGGGCCGAAAATGCCAGAGCTCTTTTGTCATGCGACTGTTCAGCTCGACTGCTTGGCTCCGCCCCCATATTTAATCTTTTAACATAATTATATGATTTGATTAATTAAAATTTGATTGACATGCCTGACAACACAGGGAGAAAGTGCAGAGAATTTAATTCGCAAGCACTATATTTGACTCTGTAACTCTCCAAGACACCATAAAACCTGTACATAGGGGGTACTGTTTTACTCAGGAGACTTCGCTGAACTCAAATATTAGTGTTTCAAACTGGTAAATTGTATTACAACGATGATATTTTAAGTAAAAGTGACGTTTTTGCATTTTTTACAAACTAACTGCACTTTTATGGACTATATTATTGTTGTAATATGGTTTACTGTTTTAAAACACTAATATTTGTGTTTAGTGAAGTCTCCCGAGAATAACAGTACCCCCCATGTACAGGTTTTATGGTGTTTTGGAAAGTTAGAGCGTCACATATAAGGCTTGCATTTCATTTTTTTGACCTTGAAATTTGCCAGATTGGTTATGTTGCCTTTGAGAGCGTATGGTAGCCCAGGAATGAGAATTACCCCCATGATGGCATACCATTTGCAAAAGTAGACAACCCAAGGTATTGCAAGTGGGGTATGTCCAGTCTTTCTTAGTAGCCACTTAGTCACAAACACTGGCCAAATATTAGTTTTTTGCTTTTTCACACAAAAACAAATATGAACGCTAACTTTGGACAGTGTTTGTGACTAAGTGGCTTCTAAAAAAGACTAAACATACCCCACTTTCAATAATTTGGGTTGTCTACTTTTTCAAATGGTATGCCGTTATGGGGGTATTTCTCATTACTGGGCTACCACACAGTTTCAACGGTAACATTACTAATCTGACAAATTTCAATTTGAAAACAGAACGTTCTATATTTGACCCTGTAACTTTCCAAAACACCATAAAACCTGTTAATGGGGGGTACTGTTGTATTGCTGATTACAAATATGTGCATTTTTTTTTTTTTTTTTGCAGTAAAACCCAACAGTATTATGACATTCACTGCTAAAATGTCAGACGGAAATACAAATTTAACCCCTTAAGGACTGAGGACAGTTCAGGACAGTCATCAGCATTTTTGCATTGCTGACCGGTGACGGTCCTGAACCGTCCTAACGGTCTTATGTACTTACCCGATTGCCGTCGTTCCCACGGCGGCCATCGGCGACGCTCCCGTTGTGGGGAGACTGCCTGCAGCCCAGACAGTCTCACCATGGCGGATTAGGACCCCTGGGGCCATGTGATCGCTCAATGGAGCGATCACATGGTCACAATAGGTGTCCATGTGTCTGCCTGTGCTGACAGGGAGTTTCCCTGCTAGTGTAAAATTGGTTATGTTGCGTTTGAGAGCGTGTGGTAGCCCAGGAATGAGAATTACTCCCATGATGGCATACCATTTGCAAAAGAAGACAACCCAAGGTATTGCAAATGGGGTATGTCCAGTCTTTTTTTAGTAACCACTTAGTCACAAACACTGGCCAAAATTAGCGTTCAATTTATTTTTTTTCACACACAAACAAATATGAATGCTAACTTTGGCCAGTGTTTGCGACTAAGTGGCTACAAATAAAGTCTGTACATACCCCATATTGAATACCCTGGGTTGTCTACTTTAAAAAAAATATGTACATGTGGGGTGTTATTCAGAGATTTATGACAGATAATAGTGTTACAATGTCACTATTGATAAATTTTAAAAATGTATGTTTTGAAACCGCAATATCCTACTTGTACTTATAGCCCTATAACATGCAAATAAATAGCAAAAAAGCACGTAAACACTTGGTATTTTTAAACTCATGACAACATTTTGAATCTATTTAGCAGTTTTTTTTTTTAATTTGCTTTTGTAGATGAGTAAAAAAAATTTCAAGTAAAAGTCAATTTTTTTTAGTTTTTTTCAATTTTTCATTATTTATTTATTTTTAAATTAAATTACATGAGATTATATAAATAATGGTATGTAAAGCCCCTTTTGTCCTGAAAAAATATATATAATTTGTATGGGAACAGTAAATGAGAGCGGAAAATTACAGCTAAACACGAAGACCACAGAAGTGTAAAAAGATGCCTGGTCGCAAATGTACAACATCGCAAAAACAGTCCGGTCCTTAAGGGGTTTAAAAAAATCTTATTTTTTAAAAATTTTATTCATAATAAATTATGTTCCATATATGAAAAGTTAATGATAAATTAAAGCCCTGTTTCTCCTGAACAAAATGATATATAATAAGTGTGGGTGCACAATGTGACAGCGGTGAATTACGGTTGAACAGAAATATAGCACAAATTCCAGTTTTTGTTTACGTTTGTTTTGATCAGAACGTGCACTATTGACGCCGTCCTGAAGGGGTTAATAGCCATAAAATAAAACAAAATTGCCACACAAAAGTATATATTTATATAAAGTAGACATCACAGGCTATTTACCTAGGGTTGTTTTGACACTTTCTACGTAGCCATTTCACCGCCAACCTCTGCTAAATATTGGAGTAAAATTGTTTTTTTTGGTTTTTTTTTTTGGCACACAAACTTATAACAAAGAAATTCTCATGTGTATTTTGTAAAGCTGGTGTGTGCTATTCCTGTACAAAGTTTTATTTTGTGTTCAATTACATCTGCTGAGTAAAATGACACCCCCATTGTATGTCTTTGGCACTATTTCGTGAAGTTACAGTGCCATATAGGAGCCCTGTTCTTTTCAGTATTCACAGTAGAATTTTGAGATGGATTTAACCCCTTAAGGACACATGCCATGTGTGACATGTCATGATCCCCTTTTATTCCAGAAGTTTGGTCCTTAAGGGGTTAATGAGCCTATGCTTCCATTTGGGGTATTATACCAGTTTCTGTTCAAAAAACCCCCACAAAGGCCTACCATTTGTAAAAGTAGACACTCCAGGGTTTCTCATAAGGTGCATATTGTGCCTTAACATACCTCCATTTTTTCACCAATATATGCTAAAGTATGTGATGATAATTTGTGCGTTTTTTACATTTTTGCTGGGCATTTTGTATATTTCACATGTGCAACTAAATTCAAACCCCCCAAATTATGCTCGGCTAAGTCTTCTGAGTAAAAAGACATCCCCAATGAATGTCTTCGGCACTATTTTGTGAAGCTACAGTGCCATATAGGAGACGAAGCCATATCCGTTTTTACTGAACTTTGAATTTTGACGCTGGGCCTATGTGCAATATCCAAGCATCTTAGCAGGGTTTAAATTCAAACTACCCCACAAAGGCCTACAATTTCTTAAAGTAGACACCCCAGGGTATTTCAAAATGTATCTTTTGAACCTTAGTGTGGGATCATTTTTCTGCTAGCTTGTACTAAGTGTAGTGGTAATAAGTTTTTTGTTTTTTTTTCCTGCCTTTTTGACACACAAAGGGAGTTTGCACAGTATATTTTGCATACCTTATGTGTGCTACCAGTGTATAATACTTCATATGTTGCTCAGCTATGTCGGCTGAGTACAGCAATACCCCCGTATGTACCTTTGTCAGGTATATGTGGACATCGGAGGGGCACATCTGGGACACAGCCATTCAAAAAAAATTTCAAACTTTACATTTTTACGCTGTGTCCATGCCCCATTTTAAAGTATTTTACCAGGCTATATAATCCAAATACCCCATAAAGCCATACCATTTCTTAAAGAAGACATCCCAGGGTATTTCAAAAGGCATATTTTGAACCTTAGCGTGGGATCATTTTTCCGCTAGCTTGTACCAAGTGTAGTGGTAATAAGTGTTTTTTCTGCCTTTTTGACACACAAAGTGAGTTTGCACAGTATATTTTGCAAACCTTATGTGTGCTACGACTGTATAATACTTCATATGTTGCTCAGCTATGTCGTCTGAGTACAGCAATACCCCGTATGTACCTTTGCCAGGTATATGTGGATGTTGAAGGGGCACATTTGAGACGCAGCCATTCAGTTTTTTTCTAACTTTGAAGTTTTACACTGTGTCCATGTTCCAATTTGGAGTAGTTTAGACGGTTGGTTATTGAAACTTCCCCACAAACACATACTATTTATTAAAGAATACACCCTGGGGTAATTCAAAAGGCATATTTTGAACCTTAGCGTGGGATCATTTTTCCTCTAGTTTGTTCCAGGTGTAGTGGTAATGAGCGTTTTTAAATGTATTTTTTTTACTTTTTGAAACTTTTTTACTTTTAAAAACTAGTTTTTAAACTTTTGTTTTGCTTATTAATTTTTTTAAACTTTCCTAAACTTTCTTAAAACTTTTTTTTACAGATTTAACATTTTTCTAAGCTTTTTTTTTTTTACCGTTAACCCCTAACTAGCAGTAAGCAGCACTAACAGTAAATTCCCCATTTTCCCATAACTCCCACCCACCCCAGCTAGCAAAATATATAATTATAAAATATTTAAATTAATTAATTAAATAAATTGAACCCCTGAGGGTTAAAAAATAAATAAAAGTTAATCCTCAGGGGTTAAAAAAAAATAAAAAATTAGATCACAGTATAATACTGTGATCTGTATTTTGATCACTGTAGGCAGTGATCGACTGGCAGGGAACGGGTTAATTTTTATTTGTACTGGGTAAAGGGGGGTGTTTAGTATTTTTTTAGTTACATTTTTAACTTTAAAGTTTATTTCAAAACTTTTTTTTTTAACGTTAACCCCTAGTTAGCCTAACACCAAATCCCCCAATTCCCCACTAACTTCCACCCACTCCAGCTAGCTAAATATATAATTTTAAAATATTTAAATTAATTAAATAAATTTAACCCCTGTTAATTTATTTATTTATTTTTTAACCCTCAGGGGTTAAATTTATTAAATTAATTTTAAATATTTAAGGGGTTAAAAAAAAAATCTAATGACCGTAAAATGTAATCCCTGCCAATTGATCACTGTAGTCAGTGATCAATTGGCAGGGAAGGGGTTAAATTTTAATTAAAATGAGTAAAGGGGGGTGGGATTTTAAATAAACGTAATTTTAAAAAACATTTTTTTTTTTTTTTTACAGGGGGCAGGATGAGCACTGTTCCGGCTCACATGTGCTGCATATACTCCCCTTCCGCCTCCCTGCACTTCCTGGTTCTGTGTGAAGTGCAGGGAGGCGGCAGGGGAGTATATGCAGAGGCAGACCGGAGCACCATTAACCCCGCGATCGCCGCAATAGCGGCGATACGGGGTTAATTTTAACGGGTGACTGACAAGGTCCGTCACTCGTCTTTAAGGGGTTAAATTTGAATACAAAATGTTAAAAAAATCAGTTTAGTAGATATACGATGATTGAAAACTTGCATATATTTAATTATGCATTTTTTTAATTGGGGGTAAATCTAAAAGCAGTTTGCAAAACTTGCAGTTCTCTTGTCTGGTGCCTATGAAAGCTCTCCCCTTCTAACCCCACCCAGACTTTCTATGGCTGTCCAAAATGCTTTTAATTTGCTATTTTGCAGTATAAGGTAAGGAAGATGGTCTATGTTTCCTTACATAAAGGATTGCAAGATGGCAAAGAAGGTGGGACTTGTGGAAGCTTGGATTCACAGCTGCTAAATTACATCATTGTTGCTACACATTATTTTCTACCTTCCCACTAAAACTGAAAAATAAGTACTATTGTCTGTTTGTAATAGATGTTTGTCACAATTGTCTGATTTATGGGATCTTGTATCCCGTGGTCAGGGTTTAAAATTTCCACTAGCCATAGGTGAGTGAAAATCCAGCCCTGCTAAGTAGTACTTCACTATTAGTGAGTGTACTTTTGACTTTCCAGGCTTGTTGTGGCAAGTAACTTTTAGGCCAATCAAGTAAAAAAATATATATAAATGATTAAACGTGTGTTTTTAATATCTTGTTCTCTATCCGTTGACTATTCTATGTATAAACCGGTAATTATTTTTCTCTTTGTGTAGAAGCTGCACCAGCTGACAAATCATGTACAACTCCATCCACATCAACTGTCCCTGCATTAAACCAATCCACCGCTCTTGCTTCTTCCTCCACGTCCACAGTCCCAGTGTCACCTGTGCCTCAATCGCCAATTCCTCCACTACTGCAAGACCCAACCCTCCTGCGACAACTACTTCCCGCCTTGCAAGCCACTTTGCAGTTAAATAATTCTAATGTGGATATATCCAAAATTAATGAAGGTATGTTGTTTTGTTTGTTTTTTGGCCCCCCTTCTGTCCCTTTCATGTTTCTGACCGTTATTTATGTTCACAATGTTGAACAGACCAAATGCCTTGATTTAATGTTGTTGGATAAGATTTTCAAATGATTTAAAGGAACACTGTAGGGTCATGAACACAAACATGTATTCCTGTCACTGTAGTGTTAAAAACACTAAATCGCTCCTTGGCCCCCTTTATCCCCCTAAATATAGTAAAATCTTACTTTTATTCTAATCTGCTGCTGCTTGCTCAGCCCCTGTGCTGCCTGCTTGTCTTACATCATCAGACTTGTTTCTCAAAGCCAATAGTATAGTATTTTTAATGTGAAATGCACCCCGACTGGGTGTCCTGCCACTCTTTATTGATGTTTGGCATTGTTCTGTAAATCCTTAAAGGGATATACTGTAGGTGTCACTACAGATTTAGCTTAATTAAGTATTTTTTTGTGTATAGATCATGTGTCTGCATTCTCACTGCTCAATTCTCCTTGTTTCTGTCCATGCAGCCTTAGCCACACCTCCCCTGGCTGTGACTCTCACCGCCTGTGTGGGGAAAACATTTTAAAATTTTCAATCAGTTGTTAACTTGGTTTAGAAGTTTTCTTCCTGCTGTCTAACTAAAAGCTATTAAAGCAGATGTTAAATTTAACAGAATTTAACAAAATAAAAAAACAGAATATGAAATAAAGGAAGTTTAAACATTAGATATCTCTTTACAGGAAGTTTATAGGGAGACTATCACATGCAGGGATGTGTGGCTCGGGTTGTATAAACAAAGTGATTTAACTCATAAATTGCAGAGACTTGAGCAATGAGATTGCAGGGGCATGATCTATACAGCAAAACTGCTTCATTGAGCTAAAGTTGTTAGTGTGTATAGTGTCCCATTAAAGGATTTTTTTTTTTTTGCTAATTAGTCAGCAACAATGTGTTGGCACAACTGATTTTCAAAAATTAGAAAATTCAGTGGTTAGTAAAAAAAAAAAAAAAAAATGTCTGACTGCTTTGTTGGCAGAAAGTTTACCAGTTACAGTAAAATTAGAATGCATTGTCTGACAACCAGAGCTGATTCTGAAACTGTTTCTAGGATCGGTGAGGGATATGTCTTCGTTATGACTCATGATCTGTGTTTAAGTGTCACACTTGGTTGCTTTACTTTGTGGTTCTCTATAGACCCAAAACGTGTCATGTATGCATTGTGCTGATCAAATTTCTATCAAATGTAGAACATTATTCACCTATACAAATTTTAGATATTTTTTTTTTTTCTTCCTTCTTTGGCTTTACTGCTGTGTCAACTAGGGATCGATCGATCGATTATCGGTTTTGCCAATATTCAGGTTTTTTAAAATTATCGGTATTGGCCTATAATCTTGCCAATAAGGTGTCAATCGCGCGCCCAATCTGTCCTCTCTCCAAGTCTTGAGATTCATGAGCCTTGGCCGTCAAATCGCTCCCGGTTACTGCGGCAACTCTCCGCACAGCAAAACCAGGTGCGTGGATCGCAAGACCTATAGAGAGAGCTGGAGACCCGGGCCTGAAGTAGTGCTGTCTGGCTGCCATCTAGTCTGCTCTGCCGCTTGTGTGCCAATTAGTTTGCCAATTTTATCCTTCTGGTCAATAAACATAGTTATTCACTTAGTCAGTGAGGGGGGGTGGTGGATGGCACACGGCACTATATGTTGATAAAGCTCTGGGTATATATTGGCACTATCTTATAAATGATAATAAAGCCCTTGGTAGTATATTGGCACTATAACATGATAAAGCACTGGGAGTGGGTAGTAAACTAGAACTATACAAATGATAATAAAGCCTTGGGTAATATATTGGCACTATACAATTGATAACAAGCCCCTTTGTACTGGATATATGCTGTGCTGGGAGAAATATAAATCAAAATGAGCTGAAGTGTGGTCAATCATACAGAGAATACACGTTTTTTTTGTATTATGGCCAATGGGTTAACTTGGTACTGGCAGAACATAGTCCAAATTAAAAGGGAAACTATAGTGCCAGCCCAGGAAAGCAGACTCCTTTTCTTGGCACTATAGCTTTCCCCTCTGTGAAGACCCTGTCCCCCCTGTGGTGCAGAAGGGGTTGATAACCCCTTCTGTCACTTACCTGTTCTGGGTCCAGCACCGAAGCTCCGCTCTGCCCACACTCCTCCCATTAAAGCTTTCCTATGGAAATTTTGTTATCGGCTATCGGCCTGAAAGTTCAGATTATCGGTATCGGCTCTAAAAAAAAAAAAAATCAATATCGGTCGATCCCTAGTGTAAACACGTTTATCTAAAAACTAAATACATACATATATTTAAAATGTATTTGTGGACAATACAGTCTACACCAGGCAGCTGTGTATATTCTGAGTTCACTAGAAGGGATAATTTCAGTCTATTCCAATGCTTCTCATTGGGACTTATGGTGCCTATGCACAATTGGATATCAGATGCTTCTAACAAAGAAGGATTCTCAAAGTTCATTGGCATGCTATGTATATGGACGCAGAAATTGAACATCTTCAATTTGAAGGTGCCATTAGTGGCTGTCTGTCAGCCATTTATGGTTGCTCTTAGGAGAAAGGTAGACATTGCAAAAGTTTTAATGTCTGTAATTTTGTTAGTTCTTACAGCTGCTGTAACACAGGCATCTTTACAGTCAATACTACACAAAATTCTTACTGCTGGACCTTCAGCGTTCAACGTCACTTCTCTGATCTCGCAAGTTGCACAGTTATCAACGCAAGGTAAACAGCCATATTTCTTTCTTCGTACCGTGTCATAGATGTTATATTAACCCCTTAAGGACGGAGCCAAATGTACACGTTGTGAACGAAACAAAATGTAAACAAAACCTGGCATTTGCGCTACATGTCTGTCCAACCGTAATTCACCTCTTTCATATTAAATGCACCCACCCTTATTATATATCAATTTTATTCAGGGGAAACAGGGCTTTCATTTAATATCAAATATTTAGCTATGAAACATAATTTAATATGAATTTTTTTGGGAGAAAATACGATTTTTTATTTTTTTATTTTTTAGTTCTACATGACATTTTAACGGTCAATGTCATAATACTGTTTGCTTTTACTGCAATAAAATACACATATTTGTATTCAGCAAAGTCTCACGTGTAAAACAGTACCCCCTATGTACAGGTTTTATGGCGTTTTGGGAAGTTACAGGGTCAAATATAGCACGTTACATTTGAAATTGAAATTTGCCAGATTGGTTACGTTGCCTTTGGGACTTTATAGTAGCCCAGGAATGACATTTACACCCATAATGGCATATCATTTGCAATAGTAGACAACCCAATGTATTGCAAATGGGGTATGTCCAGTCTTTTTTAGTAGCCATTTGGTCACAAACACTGGCCAAAGTTAGCGTTAGTATTTGTTTGTGTGTGAAAAATGCAAAAAACGCCAATTTTGGCCAGTGTTTGTGACTAAGTGGCTACTAAAAAAGACTGGACATACCCTGTTTGCAATACCTTGGGTTGTCTACTATTGCAAATGGTATGCCATCATAGGGGTAATTTTAATTCTTGGGCTACTATAGAGTCTCAAAGGCAACGTAACCAATCTGGCGAATTTTAATGTGAAAAAAATGAAACGCAAGCCTTATATTTGACGCTGTAACTTTTGAAAACACAATAAAACCTGTACATGAGGGGTACTGTTGTACTCGGGAGACTTCGCTGAACACAAATATTTGTGTTTCAAAACAGTAAAAAGTATCACAGCAATAATATTGTCCGTGTAATGCTGTTTGTGCGTGAAAAATGCAAAAACGTCACTTTTACTGGCGATATCATCGTTGTAATACATTTTACTGTTTTGAAACACTAATATTTGTGTTCAGCGAAGTCTCCCGAGTAGAACAGTACCCCACATGTACAGGTTTTATGGTGTCTTGGAAAGTTATAGGGTTAAATATAGTGCTAGCAAATTAAATTCACTTTACTCTTGGCATGGGCTGTCAGGCAGGTCCCGCTAATTGTAATTAATTAAGATACCTAGCTATGTAAAAATATTACATAAATATATGTGTGTGTGTGTGTGTGTGTGTGTGTGTGTGTGTATATATATATATATATATATATATATATATATATATATATATATATATATATATATACAATACACAAGACACAAGATCCAGCGCACTCACCTATCCACTAAACAGCAACTTCAAAGTTGAAAGATTTTATTTGTTTTTTTTAAAAACACCTAATCTAGGCAAAAATAATGGGGGTTTAGTTACATTATATGATCATACATTGCATAAGCCTGCCACAACGTCAATGTACCCCATCTTTGGCAGGTCCTACACTAACAGCCTAATGTCTGCTCTTATGAGATTAACCACTTACTTGAGGAAAAAAGCACCCCCATTTATGCATGTTCAGGTGAGTGCAGCCAACCCCCCCTTGTTTCATATATATATCTCCTTGGTTTTGCACCCCTCCCTGTCACAGGTGCCTCATCCTAGGGCCCTATTTAGCCTTGTACTGCAGAGAGCCCCAGATGGAATTTTTTTCCTCAAGTAAGTGGTTAATCTCATAAGAGCAGACATTAGGCTGTTAGTGTAGGACCTGCCAAAGATGGGGTACATTGACGTTGTGGCAGGCTTATTCAATGTATGATCATATAATGTAACTAAACCCCCATTATTTTTGCCTAGATTAGGTGTTTTTTAAAAAACTAATAAAATCTTTCAACATTGAAGTTGCTGTTTAGTGGATAGGTGAGTGCGCTGGATCTTGTGTTTTGTATTATTTGGCCCCCAGCAGCACCCCCATTTATGCATGTTCAGGTGAGTGCAGCCAACCCCCCCTTGTTTCATATATATATATATATATATATATATATATATATATATATATATATATATATATATATATATATATATATATATATATATATATAAAATATACACACACTGCTGTGTGAGGGTGCTGGCAGTGTGCTATGTGGGTGAGGGTGTTTGTGTGTGTGTGCTTGTGAGGGTGCTCTGAGGGTGCTGTGTGTGAGGGTTCTGTGAAGGTGCTCTGTGTGCTGTTTGTGTGAGGGTGCTGTGTGTATGAGGGTGCTGTGTGTGTGTGTGTGTTGGTGCTGTGTGTTTGGCTGATTTGTGGGGGTGGAGGTGGGGGCAGATTAGTTAATAAATATCCCCCCTCCCTTCTTACCTTTTGTAGGGATGGGGGACCGTGCTGCTGCCTTCACTGGTGGTCCAGTGGAGGTGGGGGCAGATCAGTTAATATCCCTCTCCCTTCTCCCTAATTACCTTATGTAGGGAGGGGGATCCTTGTTGCTGCTGCCTTCCCTGGTGGTCCAGTGGAGAGTGAACTCTAGCCTGTGGGGCTAGAGTTCACTCTTGCGAGATCTGAGCGTTGCCATGGCAACGCTCAGATCTCGCAAGAGGAATCCGGCAGGGCTGCTGGCTAGAGCTCCCCGGGGTAGCGGTACATACCTTATCTGGGGGGCCAGCCAAGGTCCTCTATCCCTGCTGCACGCGGTTCCCTCAGGGCTCAGATGTCGGTGGGCACTGACCGCGAGATGCGGTCACGTGTCCCGCCTAGCTCTAAGAGCGTGCCACGCGTGCCTAGCTCTAAGAGCGTGCCGGCGCTCGGATAGCGCCTGCTCTGCATGAGCCCCGTGCGCTCGCCTATGTCCCACGCCGGCAATCGCCATGGGGGACTTACCTGGCATTCCAGACAGTCCACCTGCTGCCGATCCAGCCCTCCATTTATGCATGTTAAGGTGAGTGCAGCCAACCCCCTCTTGTTTTATATATATATATATATATATATATATATATATATATATATATATATATATATATATATATATATATATATACCTCATATATATATTTTACTGCATATATACCTGCCTCACTCTATATATATATATATATATATATATATATATATATATATATATATTTTATATATATATATATTTTAAATATTTTTATTTATATATAGGTGTATGTATATATATATATATATATATAGTGTTATATACGTATATTTAGGTATGAAGATATATATTTCGTTCTTCGTGTATTTTGATATAAATATATATCACAAGACAGTTACAACGAAATAAAACACATCTATACATTTTTTAATTTTGTTTAATTTTATTTTTTTACGTATTTACATATTTTTTTTTTTTTTTATAATATATATAAATATATATAACAATTATATATATTTAATCGGTATCAGTCTACGTGTGATTTGATATTAATATATATATTAATAGTAAAATACACCTAGACGGGGTGGGTGTGTGTATGTATGTATATATATATATATATATTTCTTTTTTATTTATTTTTTACACTTAATTTTATTTTATTTCATTTCCAGCCAGCAGGGGGACCACCTGTCATTACAGGCAGCCCCCCTGCTGGCAATACTGAAGCCAGCTATACCGGCCATGTGATTGTGGGGGTCCTCGCAAGGACCCCACTCTCACATGGCCGGGGGGGCTTCCAGGGGGTCGGACGTGCCGCGGGGGGACCGGCTAAGTAATGAAAGGCCGGAGGGTGTACAATTACGCCCGGCGGCGTTTAGAGCCGCCTAAAGTAGGGCGTAATTGTACGCCCTCCGGTCTTAAGGGGTTAATTATGTGACAACTAAAACAAAACCAGCATTAACACCATAATCGCAAACGTTTTGAATTTTGTGGGTTTAGTTTAGATACTGGCTCTTTATTTTTTGGCATTAATGGTTGATGCAATGTGAATTGTAGTGTTTTTTTATTTTAATTTTATTTTTTTATTCTAAATGTTCCAATTTTCTCAACTCCTAACTCCCTGTACATTGATAAAACTAAACTTGGGCACCAGCACCACCTAGTGTATGTAGTAGGTACTGTGCTGTGTACATTGTTAAAATGGATTTTATCCATTTTCGTTGGATACAGCAAACAAATTCCAAGGAATCCATGTTTAAGATGGAATAAAGATAATTCAAGCAAAAGGGTGATTAATTCTTTGTTAAACTAATTTGCATATATGCCCACCCAAAATCCCTTGTGGTAGTAACATTGCAAATTTGAGATTTCTGTGGGAAAAGTACGTTATGGCTTGACTGGTGTGTACAGCGCTCTCTCTCTCTCTTGCTTTCTCTCTCTCTCTTGCTTTCTCTCTCGCTTTCTCTCTCTCTCGCTTTCTCTCTCTTGCTTTCTCTCTCTTGCTTTCTCTCTCTCTTGCTTTCTCTCTCTCTTGCTTTCTCTCTCTCTTGCTTTCTCTCTCTCTTGCTTTCTCTCTCTCTCGCTTTCTCTCTCTCTCGCTTTCTTTCTCTCGCTTTCTTTCTCTCTCTCGCTTTCTTTCTCTCTCTCGCTTTCTTTCTCTCTCTCGCTTTCTTTCTCTCTCTCTCGCTTGCTCTCTCTCTCTCGCTTGCTCTCTCTCTCGCTTGCTCTCTCGCTTGCTCTCTCTCTCTCTCGCTTGCTCGCTCGCTCTCTCGCTTGCTTGCTCGCTCGCTCTCTCGCTCGCTCTCTCGCTCTCTCGCTTGCTCTCGCTCTCTCTTGCTTGCTCTCGCTCTCTCTTGCTTGCTCTCGCTCTCGCTTGCTTGCTCTCGCTTGCTTGCTCGCTCTCTCGCTCGCTTGCTCGTTCTCTTGCTCGCTCTCTCGCTCGCTTGCTTTCGCTCGCTCTCTCGCTTGCTTTCGCTCGCACGCGCTCTCTCTCGCTTGCGCTCTCTCGCGCTTGCGCGCTCTCTCGCGCTTGCGCGCTCTCTCGCGCTTGCGCGCTCTCTCGCGCTTGCACGCTCCCTCTCTCGCGCTCCCTCTCTGGCCCGCTCTGGCTTTCGCTTCCTGAAATAGGTTTCCATGACCAATCAGCTGTACACAGGCCCCACATGAACAAATCATGCCACCATTGTCCTTTGGAGTAATGGAAATGTATTCTGTGGAGTGATGAAAATTACACTTCATTATCTGGCAGTCTGATGGAAGGAGCGGAGAGTAGTGAATGCCTGAAGAAAGCTATGTAATGCCTTCTGTAAATTTGGAGTATCGGGAATAATGGTGTGGTGATTTTTTATCAGGGTTTGGGTTTGACTTTCTGGTTCCAATGAAGTGTCATTTTAATGCTACATGGCACAAAGACATTTTAGACAAATGGGTGCTTCCAACTTTAAGGCCACCGTTTTGGGTTTAGGCCCTTTTCTAAATCAAAATGATGTGACCCTGTGCACAAGACATGGTTTGACTGAGTTTGTTGTGTCGAAACTAGACTGCAGGGAGCGCTGACCTCAGCCCCATTGAACAACTTTGGGATGAATTGGAAATAGGATATCCAACAAACTTATAGACATTTTGAACACCTAGTGTATGCCTCATTTGTGGCTGCTTTAGACCTCTTCCCTATTTGTGTGTGCTAATTGAAGATGTAATTTAATTTCTTTTTTTCCCAATAATTTTGTTTTTGTTTCAGCTACACAATCCAATCAGTCCCCTATGTCTCTGACATCAGATGCTTCATCGCCAAGGTCATATGTATCTCCCCGAATAAGCACGCCTCAGACCAATACTGTTCCGCACAAACCTTTGATTAACACACCCCCTGTAACATCACAGCCAAAGGTAGCAATTTTCTTTGCATACATTATTTAACTATATACTTTTTTAGCCTGAGAAAAATTACAGTTTAGCAGGATGGTGAATTCCACAATTGTGTGCAACTCTCTAGTTGTGTGTTTTAATTTCCAAGGTCATTGATGCTCTGTAAGAACTTACAGAACAACGTAACTTCTTAAAATAACCAACCATTGCTAAGGAAAGTGACTGATACTAGATAAGTCTTGTTAAACAGTATATAGGTCACGCATTTAGACTGGAAGAAAGGAGATCTGGTCTAAGGCAAAGGAAAGGTGTTTTATTTTATACAGTAAGAACAATAAGGATGTAGAATTCTCTGCCTGAAGAGGTGGGTTTATCAGTGTATACAGATGTTTAAACCGCAATTGTATAAATACTTTCAAAATTATATCCCTGAATGTTATGTTTTTTAATTAGTGGGGTAATAGCTTCTTAATCCAAGGAGATATCCAACTACCATTCTGGGGTCGAGAAGGATTTTTCTCCTAAACTGGGTTTTTTGCCTTCTTGAGGCAAAATTTTGGCGCAGCTATGTAACTAATAAAAGCCAAGCGTGGTGTAAAGCATGCTGCCACTGCACTTTGGAGCAGTGGAAACTTGTTCTCTAAAAAAGCAAATTAGGCAACTAATCACTAAAATAATAAGGTGAATTTAAAAAGAATCAAGTTGGCCCAAGTGATCAGCTCTTCAGAGGATCTAACATTTAAATAACACCTAAACTTGTTCACCATTGGGACCCATAAAATATTAAGTGCTTACTTTTTTTTTTCCTTCCAATATACATTTTATTTATGTCTTGTAGGCAAGTACTGCAGTTGGTTCTAAGCAAGGACCCTCTACCCAAAGCGTTCAGCAGCAGACAGCAACTGCTGACAATCCCCAAGGCCATGAGCCAACGTCCCCTCGAAATCTTCAGCGACAGAGGCAAGTCTTGTGTATAAGTTATCACATTATTTAGATTTGTCTATATGCCATGTTGTTCTCTTACTCACTTTTTACCTCTTCCATGTTATATTTATAAGGCTCTAATCAATGTAGTGCTGTTGTGGTTATCCTCATGCTGACCGCTTTGTTTGTGTAGCATGGCGGTTCTCATTTAATGCAAGAGAGTGCATGTGAGATGTGTTGCCAGTGGGGATTTTCTCGCAGTTGACATTAAATTGGTTAGCGGTTCCCTCTCTCAACTTGGTCATGCAAAAAGTGTTACAACTATTTGACAAGTTGAATTCTGATGTACCTCAATTCTCTGAGCTTTTTCACCGTGTGATTAGAGCTTCATACACATTTTTGTATAGATAATGAGAAATTGGGAGGGGGGTCTACATATACACACTAGGATTGATGTATGTATGCATATTTTTTTTTTTACTTAGGTAACTGCTGTTAGTCTCACCCACCAAAGTTTGAGCTTCTGGTAATTGTATAACCATTGTAGACTGCCAGGCCTGTGTTGTTCTTGCAAGGTTCAGTGGACTCCATCATAAATTATGCTTTTGCTAGGGTTTAGTTGTAAATAGTCAAACCATTGACAAACTGTTTGACATCATACGTGGGTTCTGCCTAAGCCCAGTGGTGAACTCTGTTTAGCTAATGCGAATGGAAGCTCCTAACAGGAGCTTCCAGCTCTCCGCAGAGGAAGAGGAGGCAGAGACTGATGCCCAGAGGACCCTCGGGTAAGAAGTAAAACTGTTGCACTACTCCCTGTAGTGGTTTTGGTATTTGGAGTGTTATTTTAACATATATTATCTTACTAATGTATTGAGTAACCTGTATAGTTTTATAGATCTTTTTTTTTTAGATTACTGATATGTGGAAAATTGATGTGCATACTTTTAAAATACTTTCTTCCTTGCTGTCACTACTTTCACCTTTAGTAGTCAGAGAAGCCCATCGCCTGCTCCAAATCATACCTCCAGCACCTGTGCATCAAGCACATCCTCTGTATCACAGAATGCATCTGCACGGAATCAGTGTGCACTGACCCCTTCATTAGCTGCCTACTTTAATGAAAACCTTATTAAACATGTCCAAGGCTGGCCTGCTGAACATGCAGAGAAACAGGTAAGCATTAAAGAGTTTTCAGAGTGTGTGACAAAAGGTTTTCATGCATTCTGAGTTAAAAGTTAAATTAATCTCGTTGTTGGGGTGATTTTGATTTAAATCTCTTCCATAGGACTTGACCAAAATCATGATTTTTAAATGCAAAGACACATACTGTAGTTTAATAGATTAATCACTTATTTAAGTAACTGTCCTCTTAAAATGTATTTAATTTTCTTGTAAATTTATTTTTATTGAATGAAAACATGGCATTCGTGTACACAATAAGACGCAGGTCTCAGATATTTTATTTTTTCTGACCTTTAAACACTGTAAACAGAAACATATGAAGAAAACAAGACTTGGGGTAGTATCCTCTAACCGAAAGTGTAGAATGTCACTCATGCTATGTGACTCGTAGGTCTCAACCATTTACTGGTTGGAAGGAGATACGTTTGCCTTGAATCATTTGCTCTTTGTGACTTTTGACAGCATGAACAATATCAGTTAAAGAGACAGCAGGGTTTCTGACGTTTAGCTTTATCTTCCATGGGTGCTGTCATATGATGACTTCATTTGGGCGGTTTGGTATAATTTTTCACTTCATTTGTATAAAGGCCTGTTACAGATTGGGGAAGGGGTAGAGTGGAGAGAGAAAAAACAAAACATGTAGCTACAGATATACATTGTGGAAAAAGTGAGGGAGGTCTGCGTGTAACAGTAGCTTGTGGCAGCCGACTCTTTCAGGTATTCACACGTCTCTCACTGTCCTTTAGTTTCTGCCTTCCAATTCAAATTAGTATGAACAGAAAAACCTGTAAAGCAAACACCTGGGAGCTATATTCCGCATGTGATAGTCTCATATCTCCTCCCTATCTCGTGTCCCTTCCCCACCCAAGCAAGACGCTACTCCAAGCCTACTAAAAAATAAGTTTAAGAAGTCACTGGATTCTATAGAGACTATCCAATAGGTCCAAATGGCAAGATATGTCTGGCAGTGTCCCTGAGCATTAAAGATCAGCTTCTCCATATGCTGGATCCAGCTTTTAGCCACATTAATAATTCTGATAGTCAGACTTTTTGTAGGAAAATGCACGTGTCTTGGTGTGGTGCAGAAGGAAAGAGGCTGAGCTGAGGTATGGTGGTTTCTCTGTAAATTTCTGAATGATCTTGTAAATGTTAGCCTAATAAGCGCAAATGAAATTGCCGTCCCACCAGATGTGGAGTAGGGATACCCACAGCCTGTTCACTGCACTAATCATCTATAGTGGACTCAATTGTATGTAGCTGTTGTGGGGTTTTATACCAGAAAGAAAGCAGTTTTTGAGTGGATTCTTGGAATTTAATTTGTCATTTTTTTGAATTTTTTTATAATTCTTTATTTTTGTGATATTTTCCATTTAAATTCGGTTTGAAAATTCATTGGTAGAGGTCATGACAGAAGACAAGATAACTTATTCTAAACTAAAGAATAGAGTACTTAAGATGATTCCATACATTTTTGACACACTAATGGTTATATTTGTCGGTTCTCCTTCATGACTTATTTATATGAAAAACAAAATATAAAACAGTGGGTCGACATAACATAGTAATTTGAACAGTAACAATTAAACTAGGGTTTACAGTCTTTGTGTGAACTGTGTATTGGGAGTGGCTTTTCTGGTCGGCCTGGTATTTTCTTTTCTCATTTGGAGTTTGTAGGTGGGTTCAGGTTGTTATTATGGTGGTGATTGGGTCCTTACATGGTATTTGAGATTTGAAGACCTGTTTTTATCTTAATGGAATTTATTTTTTAATATAATAATCTTTCATCGAGTTTTGAATATAAATATATATTTTAATTTACTTTTTTTATTTTTTATTTTTTTAAATCTGCCCCTATTTAACACTGGACGCAGTTTATGTGCTTGTCCATGCCGCTATTCTCTCTCACCTTGACTACTGCAATATGCTTCTCGGTGGTCTACCGTGTTCCCTAAGATATAGGACCAAATTAAAGATTCTCGTAATTGCTTAAAAATCTCTCAGGAATACAGCTTCAACCTCCCTGTCCTCAATAATGCTCAAGTATGTCCAGTTGAGGCCCCTACTGCCAAAGACCTACATCTATCCTCTGCTCGTACACCTAACTTCAAGACTTCTCTGTGGAACTCCCTTACCTTTTCCTTTAGACTTTCACCCAGTCTTCACTCCTTCCAAAAGTCTTTCAAAACTCACTTCTTCAGGATGGAGTATCAATTAAACTGTTAACAGTTTATCCACCTCTGCACCCTGATTCCTCTCCTGCAACGGTCAACAAAAAAACAAAAAAACCTCCGCCTCCAGTGAATATTATTCTACCAATCTACTTTTCTACTCTACCCTTACATTGTGTGTCACTATACCCCACTCCCTCTCGCATGTACGCTCGTTGAGCAGGACCGTCAACCCCTCTGTTTCTGTGTGTCCAATTCGTCTTGCTATAAATACGTGTCTGTTAGTTGACCCATTGTACAGCGCTGCCGAACTAGTTTTCGCTTTATAAATAATATATAATCCTTATCCCTACCTGTGGTATATGGCTGGATACTTCAGCCATGTACATACACCTTGGGTCAGACAGTGTTTGAAAACGACAGTTAATCTCTGTAGACGGAGTGAAGCAGGAAGACCGCAAGACTGTCTGTCTGACCAAAGCTGCAACATATATGGCCGAAGTATCCCGTTATATCCTAAAGGTAGGGAAGAGGTTTTTCTAATTGAGAAATAGATAGATATATATAATTTTTTTATCTTTCTTTTGAAACTTGGTTAAATGATTATATTAAATATATTTTGAGATGAACTTTGTCCTTTAAAGGCACTTATGTCCTCTTGTGTGTAAATGTAATTGTTTTGAAAAAGTATGTTTTTTGTTGTTTTTTTTAACACAAGTTCAATTAACCTGAAAATAATGGAATTAATGTAACACAAATGGAAATCGCCTCATGCAACATAATTTTCATGATGAATAACCTTTGAACAATAATGTATCTTGAAAAGAAATGTATATTTAGATTTGTTTCCTGTAAAAGCATTTTATAAAAATTTCATATAAATTTGGTATTTATTTTAATTTCCACCCTATAAAGTATTGGAGTAACCATTGTCCTCTCATTCAGAAGTACGTTTATTTTAGAGCCCCCATGTAACTAAAAGGGTGAGAATCAAAGAGGGAATAATATATATATATATATATATATATATATATATATTTCAAAATAGTATTGTGAGCATAAAATGAAAGCATGGCCTACTAAAGCAGAACCCATGCTTCTTTGTTTTAGGACACAAACAATGACTGTTCGGGTAAGGGCTGTCCTCATTTTTTTAAATTTTTTTTTACTAGCATCATAATTGTTTTTCCCTCCTTTATGCTATGACTAGGTGGAGCCAATGCAATAGTCTTATCTTGGTGGTCAATTATGAATGTATTCCCTATTTCGCTTTTCCTTAAAGGGTTACACCATGACCACTTCTGCTTTTCGAAGTGGTCATAATAGGAGTCTGGATGTGCATGGCTTCAACTGGAAGAGATATTTTTAATTGTATGCTTGGGGGCAAGTTGCACACAGGTCTGTACCGGCTGCCTAATGTCAATACTGTGCATTATTTATGTATGTCGCAACAGACGTAAATGCTTCTCCCTTGTAGGAAGAGCCTGCAAGGGAGAGGCTTTTCTCAACCCACCTTCTAAATGCATCTTTTGCTTCTGTTCGATAAAAGTGATTGTTCAAAGATGATTTGTTTCCTTTTTCTTTGGAAATCTACATCTTTCATTTTAGCCCCACTCTTGGTAAAAAAAAAAAAAAAATGATACTTCCGGTGCTCTACCTACACAAATTTGGATCTGTATATTACTGGCTTAATTTATTCTTCTTTCTCTCCATTTAAGGCATCAAGGTTACGTGAAGAATCCCACATGGGGAGCATCCACATGGCCGAAAATAGTACAGAATTAAAAAATTTAAGGTCTTTAGTTCGAGTATGTGAAATTCAAGCAACTTTGCGAGAGCAAAGGTTAGCGTTTGTTACTGTAACAATTTACCAGTGTGTGTCGAGTATGGAGATGTTGAATATTTTGAATTCACCAATTTAATGTTATCCTTTTAAACCTTTTGAATAGCTGACAATATTGTTTGTTACATATATCCATATATACTTATGTACTTTCTTAGAAACATATATACTTTTTTGGAAACAGACTATTGTTCACTTGGCCAGTTTCTGCTGTCTGACGGCCATTATTTTAAGATTTTTCTTAATTCCATGCAGTTACAGTAAGTAGCAGAGAGCTTAAAGTGACACTGCAAGCACTATAGCCATTCTATCCCATTGAATGTTATTGTGCCTGGACTCCCATGGTCCTGTTCCTATATTCAGTGAGCAGTTTAACACCTTATGAGGGTTCCTGGCTAAACACTGAATGGAGGATTAGGCCACATGACACCAGACACTGCAGCCAGATCAATGAGCTTAAACCTGAAAAGTCCAGTGCATACAGTTTCTCTTTCATAGTGTTCTAGCAGCTGAAATTTAAATGTCAACATTTATACAACTTTTGTAGCATTAAAGAGATTATATCACCTTGGGTGTCTTTGCATATTTTGCAAAGACCTCCCAGACGATGACATCCCTGCTCGTTTTGCAGAGGCCTACGAGTTGCAGCTGAAGTGCTGCACTTGTGAGAGTACAACAATGAGGTCTATGATGGGAATGATACTTACCCATGTGTTAGAGTCCAACAATTCTATGAAGGATACAGCAGGATCTTACACTGATTGGCTTTCACAATGCACAAGAATAATCCTTTTCCCACAATATTTTCCAGTGATGAGAAGTTAAGTGTGAGCATTTGTCCACACAGGGTTTACCTATAAGACAGATGAATTTCCAACACAGTCAAAATTAATATTTAAAGACAGAGTGACAGAACTGCTTTAATCAATTTTGTTTTATGGTAATTATGTACATCTTTAGATTGTGTTCACTTTAACCTTCACATAACATGGACTAAAGGGACACTCCACTGCCCAACTTAAAATCAATATTTAGTAGATATACCCAATGAATGCTTGCATGCATTTAATTCTTCACTTTTTCATTGGGGGCATATTTAAAAACAGTTTGCACAAACTACAGATCTTGTCTGCTGCATTTTGCAAGCTGTCACCTTCAACCCTGTCCTGACATTCTGTGGCTTTCCAATGCAGCTCAATGAGAAGTCTTTGCAAAACATGTGCCCTGGGCAATTACTACTTCTTGAGCGTAGCTCCACCGAGCTAAGCAAGCATGGAAGTAGCATGCTGTGTTGTCTGACAGTCAAAGCCGTAGCAACGTTAATTCCTAAAATTTTCTTTTGAATTCTGCATTTTTTTTATTAAATGAAAAAGGGGGGGCGGGGGGGGGTGGAGGGGAATAAAAGGGACACCCTCTTTACATATTAAGCATTTCAGCTAGCTCAAGTTTTTTAGGAGTACTGTGTGCAGCAGCAAGTAGTATAAAACAGAATTGCTTCAGCAACATAACTGGATAATGGTGCCAACTTTTATCTTTGCATGACTGTGTTTATTTGCTTAGCACTGCCTTGACTGATCATGTGTCGTGTAAATCATGCCCCCAAAATGGGATTATTTATTTATTTATTAAATTTTATCTCCATCTTCAAGATGACAGATTAGTATTGACAATAGAATGATAAAACAAATTGCAAATTTACTTCAGAGAGATAAAAATTATGCACTTTTGTTTTATTTTGGTTTTTGTTTTAATTTTGTTTTTTTTACTTGTATTCCAAGTAATTTTGATTTATTTTGCATTTAAACTGTTGAATGTGGATCTAATTTTCTTTTATTTATTTATTCCTGTATCTTCTTCTAGGATACTGTTCTTGAGACAGCAAATTAAAGAACTTGAAAAACTTAAAAACCAGAATTCCTTCATGGTGTGAAAGATTGTGACTTGCACGTCGGTTTGGAACTGTAAAGCAGAGAGCCCAGTCTTAACATTTTTGAGCTGCATATGAGTAGACTTTGGACCGTTGAGCTGGGCAATGGACACGTCAGGGGGTTGTTGGGACTGAATTTGGGAGTCCATTCAGGGGAAAGACACACGAGTGATTTGTAAAACCCTTGAAATGTAGATTTCTTGTAGATGTATCCTTCACGTTGTAAATATGTTTTGTAGATTGGAGCAATGGGATGCCCATGCGTATCAGAGCTTCGACATCCAAAACTAATCCGTGCTGAGGTGGTTAAAAACCTAGCCTCTCTTCATGTAAGCTTGTCTGCAAAATTAGCTGTTTTTTTTTTTTTCTGTTAATTTATCATTCAGAAATCTTGCTTTTCCAGAAATTAGAGACCAGCACCAGGCAGTGTATTAATGTCTGACATAATCTCTCAAACAGTTTGGACAGTATACAAAACATTTGTGCTAGAGTCCCCTTTCTCGCAACTCAGCCTTGTTTAAAAGCAGTGCTTTTATTATGTTTTTTATTTTTTTTATTTCCTTCTTATACATGTTTCTCCTAATTACTAGAGTTATATATTTTTTTTTTCCTGTGCATCTAATAATTCTTTTTATGGCACTGTTGCTGTGGCACTTTTTTCTATAATCTTTTCATTCCTTTGTACAGTAGCTTAACATTCAGTGATTGATCGATACCCACTTGTTTGTATAAATTATTGAAAAGCATTTCCACTTGCAACCTGTGAGATTTGAGGTATAGCAAAAGTTGGGCATGTGTGCTTAAAGTGCATTTCATGCTCATTCACAAAAAAATAATAATAATTAAAAAAACAAACAAAAACCCTGCCCAATTAACAATATACTTAAAATGGTTGTGTGGGGGGACAGAGGAATTCAAACTAGTCAGATGTGAAATGTATCTGTTGTAATAAACATGTTAAAAGAGAAAATTGGCTAATTTCATTTCCTTAAGTAAAAATGTAATACAATGTCTCATGATGCCAAAAGATAAAAAAAAAATTTTTTTTTTTCATTCTCTGTGAACCTTTTAAATCTGGGATTTTAGAGGCAATTAATCCAATGTCCTGGTCTTGTGAGCAAGTTTTCAGTGATTTTATCCACCAAATCTGATTTGATGTCTCCAGCAGTTGTCTCGTGTTATTCGACCTGGTTTATCTGTCTCGTGTCACACTACCCATTCGCTAGGATGGTTGTGCTGTAAATTTAACTGTTCAGGTCTGGTGCTGTTACTACCACCACAAAACTTCTCAACTTGTGTCATTGGAGTATACCACTGTTAAGATAGTGGGAATTATCCGCTTTGTAAATTGTTTCCTAAAATATATTCCAAATAAACAGGAGAAAAAAAATCTTCCTACTAAAATAAAAACTTGGTTTTTTTTTTGGGACTAATTCTTTATGCATCATAGACGGATCATTGAACATATGTCTTTATTTACACATTACAAGAGGAACTTTTTTTTTCATTTAACTAGCATTCCATGTGTCGTCACCCCTCCCCCTTTATTTTTAAACTATTGAGAGAGTAGTAATTGAGGATCATTACTGCAACTTTGAGTATATAGTTTTTATTTGTTACTTTTAAAGTTATATTTTTTGTTTTTAGATAATCCGATGTAGCCAGAACCAGGTGATGGAATATTTATTTTTCTGCATTTGTATGTATCCATTTCTTACATTTTATTTATTTATTTTATTTTTTTTAAATATTAAAATATTGTTTTCTTTGGGCTAGACTTTATTATGGGTGCTTTTCATATCTTCAGAACCCTTGTTGCATATTTGACATTTTAAAAAGAATAAACACATGGGGTTGTATAGAAGTCATGCAAATATATTTTGAGTCTTGTATCCTTTCTGTGTCCATAAAGAAATATAAATATGATTACAAATGCAACCCACTTTCTCTTATCAACTTTGTACAGACAGGAAGCTGCATGACTGTTTGCATTTATGTACTTATTTGTGTTCTACCGGTTGAATTGAGAGTAGCAGGTGTGTAACGCCCTCTTTGGAAACCTATTTGGAACTGTCCAAACATATAGTAACTTGGGGGAGGAGCAAATAATGGCAAATTTGGGTTTGTCACTAGTGGAGTAATTGTTCGTAGCTCATTTTTCAGAGCTACCCATGACTACATATATAGAACCCACTGGGGAAATTAGGGTTATTGTGACTGCTGCTTAGGTCTCAATTGTGGATGTATACATACATACATACATACATAAAAGGAATGCAATGATTTTTTTTTTTTCTTGAATAATTTTTTTAATTTTATTTCACAGCGCAACATTTAAAAAAAAAAATTTTTAGACAAATTTGTCACTTCAGGTTATTGCAGCTTGTTTACACGCACATTTATTTTTCTTAAAGCGCTATCTACTTTCTGGTTAATTTTTATTTTTTGTTTATATGTGTAAACATGATTTCATGAGTTTCTATGTCCAAGACGGATGTCTCAAAGATATATGTATCCGAGTAAAAGTCGACCCGAATATAAGTCGAGACCCCTAATTTTACCCCAAAAAACTGGGAAAACTTATTGACTAGAGTATAAGACTAGGGTGGGAAATGCAGCAGCTACTGGTAAATTTCTAAATAAAATTAGATCCTAAATTATATTAATTGAATATTTATTTAGTGTGTGTGTGTAGATGAATGCAGTGTGTGTATGTAATACCAGGCTTTGTGGGGGTGGGTATTTTTATAAAAAAAAATTTAAATTAATATTTTATTATTTTATATTTTTTTATATTGATATTTTTATTTTAATATTATTTAAATCTTTATTTTCGTCCCCCCTCCCTGCTTGATACATGGCCAGGGAGGCTTTTATTATGGGGGCTCTCATTCCCTGGTGTTCCAGTGGTGTGTACTATGCAGGAGGGGGGCTGGCAGCGAGCTGTAACTTACCTTTCCTGCTGCTCCTGTCAGCTCCCTTCATCTCCTTGCCGGTCAGCTCCCCTGTCAGCCTCGGGAGAGCGGTGCGGAGCATTGCCACGGTAACCCGCGGCTCTTGCGAGACTTCCAGTGGGAGCTGACCAGCACGGAGATGAAGCGAGCTGACAGGAGCTGCAGGAAAGGTAAGTTACAGCTCTCTGCCAGCCCCCAACAGGACCGCCGGGCTTGTAATGAGCCCGGCGGTCCTGGTCTATATTATGGCAATGTAAGTTGCCATAATACAGACAGTGACTTGAGTATAAGACGAGTGGGGGTTTTTCAGCACATAAAATGTGCCGAAAAATTTCTTATACTCGAGTATATACGGTGTGTGTGTGTGTGTGTGTGTGTATATGTATGTATATATATATATATATGTATATATGTATATATATATATATATATATGTGTATGTATATTATAGAGATATATGCAAGTGATGAATAACAGTAATTTTTATATTTTTGATGTGTATCAAAACTTATAAAACTCTCCACAATTTGCAGATAGAAACAAACAAAAAAGAAAACCGGTTGTAAATCACCTGCATATCTCAAGTTGCATGTTGCAAAGTCCCCTTTGGGCACCTAAACTATTCCAGAATTCAAAGCATCATGCAAATTGCAAACTTAAAAAGCTGTGCTCAAAACAGTGTTCCACCAAGGGTATTGGCAGAAATGGAGTTTGAAGTCTCAAACATGATGCCTCTTCATGTCAAGCTGGGAACTCTGGGATAGTTATAGTAACAAGATCTTTCTGATAATCCCAAAGTCCAGCTAGAGGTAGGAAGGTGATGAACATCTGTCTATTCAAAATGAATACCTAAAAATGGCACTACAGCTAGTAGAACCCAATTAAACAAAATTCAGAATACCTAAATTTCAGTAAAACCACCCATCTCTATGAAAATCTTTAGACTTGAGATTTGTCTGTTTTAAAGGATTTTACTGGGTGATGCCAGACATTAAAAGGAGTTGCTGGGCAAAAATGATGTTCATTAGTTGTATCTGCCTTTTCTGCAGCTAATGAAAGGAAATATTTATAAAATGTTTAGTAAATACATATATATTTTGCAAAATTAATTATATGCAGCAAAATATGCTATGCATTATTGGACATCGTTTTCAATTAAATGTGTGTAACTGACTTTCTGTTGAACAAACTCTGTGTGTGTGTGTGTGTGTGTGTGTGTGTGTGTGTATGTATACACACACACACACACACACACACACGTTTGTCCTGAGGAAAGTTCCAAATTGGAACTGAAATGTTGACTAAGAGACTTTTTGTAAGTTTTTATTTATTTATTTTTTTTTTTTTTAAAGAAACCCCGTAGTGCTGATATTTCTATTTTGCATACATTTTAGTGCTATCAAGCACCAGGTATTAAAGACTGTGAGTAGGAGTGCAAGGTTTTATTTTTCTTTAAGATCAGTGGTATCGTGAAACGAGCTACATGTGGCCTAGCTAAATTGATAAAAACACTGACACAGGAACCTAGAGCGAATGTTCAAGCACTTACTTGGCGCCCTGGGTTTAATTACTTCTTCATCGGAGACTAAACTGTTGTAAGATATTTTCTTAACAAAAAAAATATAATCAAGATTGTGCATGTTGAGCCAACCTAATGTGAGTGGAAGAGAGTGTCACAGAGCAACAAAATGAGTTTATATAGTAGAAATTCGAAGCAAGAAGGGATTAAGGCTTATCTCAGTGAGTTCTGCAAGTCTGTGCAGTTTGGGAAGTTTTGTTGATTTCAATCTGCTTTGCCCCAAACTGAACTGTGCAACACATTCCGATCGTAAATTAACTATTTTGTTCTATGAGAAGCGAATATATCCTGACAAAACTCTGCGGTTAGATTGTTTAAATACTTTTATTTAATCATTTCACTATGACGATCACTGAATAGTACATGGATAGCCAACATGTTGCTCCCCCAACTTTTGTAGAACTATAATTCTTTGATGCTAGTGGTATTTGTAAACTAGATGGGGGAACAAGGTGCTGGATATCCCTGGTGTAAGTAAACTGTTCATAACGTGACCATCTAAGCACCATAGCAACCCTTGTTCATTGCACATATTATTGTGCAAAAAAAGTCTCCTTTTGATAGATCTCAATTTCTAAACCTGTGACATTCTTTCTGTGCCAGACAGCTGAAATCCACCCAAAACACGCATAACTCTAGGAACTTTACAGGTGGGGTAAAAAAAGGGGTGATACATTAATTGGCCTGAATGAATATTGTTTCTACTAAAATCAAAGTGCCATCGTTGGAGTTTAACAGAGAATTGCAAAGATAATGTTGCTTTTTCTATGGTATGAGTAAAAATATCACTAAAGTCACTATTTATACATGAGAGGAAAATGGGCACCATTGTGAATGAATTTCTCGTCATATTTCACATTTTCATGCAGTACCACTTATATATTTGTGCCCATTTGTACATGCCTTTTTTTTTAAATGTAAAATTCAATAATTTGGTTACTGTTTGGATTACAGTTTTTCACTGAAAGATCTTTAGGAATACCTATATTTGGCCTAACATTCAAGATCAGTGCTCAAAAGAAATATGGAAAACTATACACTTAAGAACTAGTGACCGAAACAGAAGAAATTATACATTTTCGATAAAACCAAACACTAATAAAACGTGGCCTATGGTATAACAAGTGCTTTGTCAAAGACCATCCTTCAAAATCAATGACAAAGTAGAAATGGCACAGAATATTGCCACCTTGATGTGGAGTAGGGTTGATAAACTGACACAATGTATATATAAAAAAAAAAAAAAAAAATATACTATTACACTAATTTTACTCTAATTTTAATCCACCTCGCTCCCTTTAATCCCTTATGATGGCAGACATATATACAACCCTCATTTAAAACTCCCCACCCTCCAAAAAGAGTACTGGACTCCTCACAAGTAAGGGTGTCCTGCAACAGCCCTGATTGGGCTACCAAATGCAGGAGTTGGATGCCACTTCCTACAGGGTATTGTTAGTGGCTTAGCTCATGTTGTGATATCTCAGTCATTGGGCATGCAGTAATTCTAGTAAATAATTGTATATATTTAGGTATAAACACACAAATGGGTCTGCGCTTAATAACCAAACAGTGAAGAAAAGGCAGCAACCCTAAAAGGAGATCCCTCTCAACTTTTAAGAAATCTAATAGAATGTCATACAAGAAAGAGAAGGGCTGTGCCACTGAAAATCACAGTAACAAGAGACAATTGAAATAAGTATTAAAACAAGATATAAAATGTATAGTCCCAACAATAAGCATAAGTTCTTTGGACTTGGGGGATGTAGTAGTTCAAATTTCTTAGGTATCCGTATGTAAAAGGAGATAAAAACCAGGGAAAACTGATAGTGCAATATGTCAGAACTCAATAATTGGATATATTCAGAGGAGCGATATTATACTCACATGTAAAAGAGCTATAGCCAGCTTTAGCGTATGATGCGTACAGTGGTACAATCCCCACTTATAGGATATGATGAGGGACGTCTACAGCGGCAGAGGTGCTCGGTACTCAGGAGAAAGTAAAAAAAAAAAAAAAGGCAACATATAGTGCTCTCAATAAATCAGTAGTGTGACATTCTTTTATTTAGATATAGCCAGAGTTAAATTAAAACTAGCATGAAAACTTGATGCTGGTCAGTATTGTGACCCAGATATTGTCACTTTATCAGATTTAATGATTTAATTTGTCATAACATACACAAGGCGTTTTTGCAATCCGGGCTAATCTGTTTTCAACTATTTTTTCTTCGCTCCACTAGTTGTGTAGAAATTGTTGTAAGCAAAACTGTGCAAACTTATATTTCTTATACTAGTATAAAGATGTGTATGGAATTATTTTCTGTAAGTTCACATGCCAACCACTAGATGTCACTATTGTATAGTGGAGAAGTATATCCGTATTTTAACATGCATGGCTGGCAATGCATTATTGTTTAAAGTCCTAATGCAGATTGTTTCAGTATAAAAATGAATTTCTCGATCCCATTCTTGAAAACATTTTTGAAACAAAATCTTATTTTTTCCCCCCAAAAAAAGCGTATAGTGGCGATACGATAAGGATGTTCTTCTGTAGGGATAGGTAACCTGAAAATCCAGGTGATAGTGTAAGTTAATTGGCTATTTCTTTGACCAGGTGTTGGGTAAGGAAGGAGGAGGCATGAGCTGGTAAGAAAGCTGGAGCTGCTTGCAGGTTACAGAGCTAAGCTTCGTTTTGCCCTAATGTTTTAACGAAAGATAACATAAATCAAGCAATTGTGCTTTTGTTTGTTTGTCAAAATCCATTATCCCCCGAGGAATCCAAACATTTGACAACTCACTGGATGTCAAATCTGCTGTTCAAGCATACCTGGAAAGAACAGCTACCTTGCAAAGCCCAGAACACCTTCTCCTCAATGTCAAAGGACATTCAAAAGAGAGCCTCTAAATCCACTATTATCTGTGGGATTCCAGAAACCGTCAGGTGTACATATGAAGCTTGTGGGGTAGATGATCTGATAAAGATCAAAGCTCATTCTACTTGTACCATGACAACTACGTTACGGGCGGTAAGATATTTGTACCAAGGCAACTACTTGGGGGAGAAGATAACTGCAAGGCCGCAACATGATCATCCTTCAACACCGTAAGTTGCTGCAGGCAGTTGTCATTTTGTTTTCCAAACTATACGTTTAGAAAACGAGACATTTTACTTAGCGTACATTTGTTTTACCTTATTAGCACAGTACACGTTTCCCTGCCTATTTATTAAATTATATCTTGCAGTCAAATGGTGTTTTCTGGTTATTTCTTGTTACTACTAAGGTGTGCCGATTCCACAAGGTATTTAAGGTTTAAGGAAGGGGAGGTCCTTATAAAAATATAAATTTTCCAGGTTAAAATTCCCTCCAGAAGAAGAGCATCCCTTATCGCTAAAAGAACGGTAAGTAAGATTTCTTGTTTCTATCGTAATCGAAAGGTACCTTAACCACATCTTATTGTAACCACTTTTTCCCCAAATAAAACTTTCTAGGTTGTAAGCTCTTGTGAACATGAACACCTTGATTGGTGATTAAGGTGACGATGACAATGCATCACATTTTGCAAACTCACTATATATGTGTCCTTTAATAAATAGATAATAATGCTGCTGAGACAGAGCTTTCAGTTCACTGAAAGGGACACTTCATCTCAATGTAGTGTTCTGGGTTCAGTGGTTGTATCTTTTAAATGTTTACGTTTTATGGATTAAGGATAAATCCTGCTCTAGTAACTGTCATACGATGCTTTTCTATGAAGAAGCTTAAATGCGCGCATGGCGATCGTTATGCAGACCGATCAGGTCCGCAATGCTCTATGGCGGAGACGTACGCAGCGACAAGGGAGCCTCTGCGTTGGAATAAGGTATATAATCCTTTATTTTTCCTAGTGTTGCTTTAAGTCAAGATTGTAATTTATTAATAACCATATTACAAAATATTTGGAAAAATAGCTGATTTGGAAAAAAAATCGCCACTTGAGCTATAGTCAAAGTTTAACTTTTTTTGATTATCTATCTGCTACAATTCTGTGTTAAGTGAATAACCCACACTGCGTTCTACTCCGTACACTGCTAACTATGCCGAAAATACCCGGGAAATTTAATCTTAAATTCAATTCATCTATGCATTCAGTGATACTTTAGCTAACTCCCCAATGCCACAGGTACAATTTAAATAGGTTAATGAGTGATTTAACAAAATAGCAAAATGCAATCCGTGAACACATTAGTTCAGTTATGTTTTCTTTATACAAAATGAGAGTGCATCATTAGTGAAGGAAATTAAAAATGGGAAATTCATGAGTTGTCCCTCCACACATCCTCCCCACCCCCAAAAAAATAGCTTAAACTCACCTATTTCCAACTCTAAAGCCGAGATCTCCATCAGCCCGATCCTTACTCACCCTGACTTAAAGGAGATGGACATCATGCAGGGCTTAGGGGAGGACATGGACAGCATGGAGAGGGGGGCCATGCCACCATTGACTGTTTGCGCTAACGTCAGGTGCCAAACATACACCAAATTAATATTAACCACTTGGAGCTCTTGTTCCAGGCTAGCTAATGACACCCCAATGTAACTCCACCATCAGCAGCAGAGGGGTTAAACTCTGTATGTGCAGCGTTTCAAATCACTGAAGTGGCCATGGTGCGTGCAGTAATCCTTTAAGTCAAAAAAGCCG